GTTATGATTTATTTATTTTTCCTAATTATATACCTTGTACTTAATTTGTGTGCTCACACACACAACTCCATCGTATATCTTAATATGTGGACAGGGACTGAAAAATTATGTGAAGGGGGCAATAATAAATTTTTTTAAATTTCAGAAAGAGCAATAATAATACTTTATGGGTATATGATTGAGAGAAAAAAAAAAGTAACAAGGGTATATTTCTAAAAAAAAATTCAGTATGTAGGTCCATGCCTGTATGTAGGTAGTGCAATATAAATACACACATATGTGTGTGTGTGAATAATGCAAAGTATGTGTATAGTTGAATTTTGAACGAAGACACATCATTAAAAAATTGTTACAATTTTGAGTATGTAAAATGATTATAGTCAGTGGTGGATTGAATTGGAACTCAGTCTATGCTTCTTTGGGCTCAGACATATTAAATCCTGGCCTTATATGGTTGGGCCGTAAGGCCCGTAATAGGTCAGAGCATAGATGCTCTTTGAAAAAAAAGTCAAGTTTGCTTAAAATAACATGCACGTATTAATTGATTACATCACCTAGTAAAACACTCGATTAAAAAATTAAAATAAGAATTCACAGTAAGAGCATTCTAGTAATAGATTTTTTTTAAAAAAATTTTACATAACTCATTATCAGCTTGTACTTTTATTTATTAATAGATAAATTACATTCATTGGATTTTGTTAATATACGCTGATCTCCCTTCTTGTTTGTCAGTATTGGATTTATAAATTACAGTGATGTCTCTTAATGAATGGTTAGTATTGACCATTAATGAATGAGTTTTATGTGTTATTTACATATAAATCTTAATAAAAGTAAATGTAATTTGACAAGTAAAAAGAGAAATTTGTGTATATTAATAAAACCTAAGAGAGATTAATATAATTTACTCTTTATTAATCGAATGCATAACCGTTATAAAACATTCAATCAAACAAATAAAATACGAACTCACGACAATTGGAATAGCTTTTTCTTTTAAAGCATTACCCTTGGCTTCGGCATGGTGATGTAGTTTTTGACTAAAAATGAAATTTTGCAAAGCCCTTTTAGATTAAACATTATTTGTCCTTGTTTGGGATAATTTGTTAGGCAATGCTCGTAACTGTAGCCATTACGCAAATGTTCCACTTAAATAACATTATTAACAAATACTTGTTAGATGGGTTTGATGATTAACCAAATCAAGTTGCGATCTTTCGTATCTCTGCACCCAAATAAAGTATAGACATGGGACTATGAAAGATACAAATCAACTACCAAGCTGGCAACTCTAATTGACAAAGTTAACCTTCACATTAATATAATAATAATATGTCAAACTCACTACCATTAACAAATAATATGTACCTTCGACTTCAATTCCCCTCTCTCTCTCAAGTAGCAAAGTCAGAGAACTAAAAATAAGAGTTTACTACTGTTTTTCAGGGTTTAAATTATACAGCTCCTTCAAACTTGTGATCCACACGTTAAATGAATTGCAAAATGTTAACTATTTAATATAAAATTAAAAGTTATAATATTTATTTTAAAATTAGAAAAATAATATTGAGGTACGAAATGAGTTATCGATCACTAATAAGATAAGAATCCATCTAAAATTAAATAATATTATAATATAGGATCATTTTTTTAATTTTTAAATGATCCTATATAATAAATAATGACCTACAGAATGAAACATTGCAATTTCATATTTGCTAATTTTCTTATACCAAGATTGGTAAAAAAAATTCTATAGAAACAAGTTTCTCAAAATAGTTTGCTATTATAAATCAAAATACGGGTACTTAATTGGTGCTTTGAATTTAGAATTAAATTTTTTTTTAATTAATTCAAAATTAAGTCTCTGATTTAGTATTTCTAAACATAAAATATAGTTTTTTTTTTTTTTTTTTTGACAAAGATAGTGGTGTTAGACTCATAAAATACTTTATAATTTACTATTATACACGTGTAATTTCTCGTCTCACATACACCGTATAGTAATCATACAATATAGATAACATAAACGCTATAATTGAAAAAAAGAAAAGAAAAGAAAGAAGGAGGATAGAAACAAAAAAAAAAAAAAAAAAGATGAATATACTGAGGATTCCGCATTAAACGTGATCAATAGTCAATCATTTCTCGCTTTAATAATGAATACCACATAGAAAAGGTGTTTTCATAATAAGAAAAAGGTCGCTTTAATGACACAAAACTTTATCAAACTACTAACTAATCACAAAATTATGTGTGGTTTTTGGCATCAATCAACAAGGTGACAGCTGTTCAGAACTGTGTTGTTACTTGGGGGTCAATATTGTCATTTCAGTACCCCATGGGAATCTTTATAGACCGACCTATCCAAGACTTGTGGAAAATCTAATCACCTATACGTAGATACGATATCTGTCCCAGATTGTGGGCCATGCCCATCCACGTGTCACTTTATCACTTGCTACGTAATTGAGTGCCGTTCGATCTAACTTATTCAACCATTTTGACTCTGTTTAAGTTTTTTTAACTACCACATCGCATATACAATTTTCCCATTCTCACATGCAGAACAATAATGGAAAATTTTCTTAGAGATGACTCTCGAGCTCCAAATTTGTGTTTTTTTTGGGGAACAAAGGAGGGAGGGAGAACTCAAATGTATAAATAATTATGTAAGTGTATAATATCCGGTTCAATATTAATTCTATCATGATCAAACTGAAAAGAGAGTGAGAACTCAAATACAGTATAATGTTCCATTCAATACTAATTCTACCGTGATCGTTATGAATTTGTCATCACTATCATTTTTTGACAGTGTGATCAATAGTATAATTGAGATTTCTGTCATCAAAATTATGTAAGTCTTACAACATGATTCACGTATATAAAAAATAATATTATGAAGTCGCTACGATCCATCCGGACTATACTCTGCATTCTTTTCCATGTTATAAGGATTTTCTTGTGCAAAGAACAACTTAACCAGGTGTCAATTTTTTAGAGAGTTGTGTTTATTTAGCACATTCCTAATTTCCCAGTAAAAGGTCAAATTTTACCTACCCGCCGATCCCACAGTTTTTTAATTTGAAATGTGCCAACTTATGGCAAGGACATTGATGAGAGCTTACAATCATGGTTGAAATTAATATTTCTCTAATTAGAAAGAGAAAAATGCAGTATCAAAAGTCTTTTGGTTGAACTAATTGGGACATGTGAGCGTTTGTAATATTTGTCAACGAAAAGAAAAATGATAAGCAAAAATGTAATTTTAAGTCGATTCGTTCAAGAGCAGGGTTTCCATCACTCTTCGAAAAACGATAATTTTATAACATAAAGTGGTGATTCTGTGGTGGGGGTGGCAGCCGGAGGAAATGGAGAGGAGAGAACTGGTGAAGAACTGTAAGTATATGTATGAAAATATCCTTGAGTTTTGTCTCTTAATGGTATTTTGGTATTTTAAAATGTATATTATTTTACTACTAAAATGAATTAAATATTAAAGGAAAATATAGTATTTTCTCTCATTTTTAAGAGTTTGTTTGAATTAACTTTTGTGTTATTGTTTAAAAAATAAACTTTCTTCTAAATGTTAAAAGGATAAATCTCAAAAAGTGTGGATATAATTAATCCAAAATTTTAACTTAAAAAAGTTCATAATGAGTTTCACGTGCATACTAATATATTGTATTTAAATCACAGTAAAAGTAATTTTTCTGTATACCACAAGTCAGCAATCACGTGCTTTTCCAGTTATTATATGAAAGATCAATTCTATTATAAGAATGTGCTAAATGAATTGTACTTTAATAATCATTCGATGAAAAAATTCGGCTTGAACAAATTTCACAGTAAAATGTTTTAGATTTATTATTTAAACTTCTCTTAAAATTTAGATGTATGTTTAAAAATTCCTCTCTCCAATCTTCATCAAAACTTGTAAATTTTTTTTCATAAAATGACCAAATTACCCTTACACTTATTTTTTTTTTTTATTATTTATTTACAATTTTTTTTTTTTTTAAGAAATGATAACGGTGGAGAGGAGAGAGAAAGTAATGAGATAAAAAAATTAATTTTTTTTTAGATTTTAATATAGTACATATAAGAGTATAATTAATTTTTTATAATCTTAAGACCTCAAATACTCCAAGACACGTGAGATTTGTCCAAAACCTCCTTTAGGTAAGTATAATTTACCCAAAAAAGTAATATAACAAATTCTTTTTAATTAAAGATTGCAAGAGCACGAGGTCAATTAAAGTTTTTTCTATCTGTAAAAAAAAAAAGAAAATTAAATTTTTTTCATAGGAACTTTTACTTATATTCTCCCTCTGGCTCTTATTAATAATCTCTTTTTTTATAGTTCAGACTTTTTAATACAGCATGCAATTAATACATTATTTTTAAAAAAAAATTATTAAATTATTCTTTCAAATTTGAATTTTGAATATTAGTAAAAAGAGTATTTATGAAAAAGATGTATTAATCTTACTTTTAGTTTTTAAATGAGAGAGACCATACTCCTCTAAGATACAGATAAAAGTTCTTGATGGACATTAGTCAATAATTTAGTGGAGAATTTTAAGAGGGATTTTTTTAAGATGAATTAAAAAAAGAACATGATAAACATATTAACTTGTGGATTCATATATAAAAAAAAAAAAAAGTTTTATAAAAAATGACATCTTTTTGGAATAGAAGTAGTAAATCATTACATATTACGGATGAAATAGTGGGTAAATGGTCACTCAAGAAGAAGTACATAAGAGTGAAAGTCAGATACTCCTATGTAGCAATGAGTTGACGCTGTAGGAAGAGCTGCAAAAGTGGTGTAACAGAGGATATCAATCTCAAAACAATGATTCACAGACGCCACATCAATCACTACGCAGCTAAGCACCGCCAAATAAAAAGGGACACGTAGAAGGGTTTCCAAAAGCAAATGAGTACGACTATAATCAACGCCTTTTTTTTCCATTGTTTCATTCACTCATAGTCATAGATGCGTGAACTAATATCTTCTCACACGTGTCCTTCCATCCGTAACCTGTCTCGTTCTTCTTCTTTTATCCCAATCCCGCCCCTACTTTCCCCCCTCTACTTTTCTCTCTCTAAATCCCCCCTCTTCTCCTGTTTCTTATTCTTTTCTTCGCCGTTGCAGAACTTTGGTGGTGAATGTGAGAGTTTTAGATGGAGAATAAGGAGTCATTGATGGAGGATGAAAATGTTAACAGAGTTGACTCGGTTCTTGACCACGACTTGGCGTCCACCAGTTCAACCTTGTCGTCCATGTTCGGGAGTGACGATTTTCGCAGCACCATCAGTTCCGGCGACATCTCCACTACGAGCAGTAGTTCCGGCGAGATTCCGGTCGCCGTGATGAACGAGGCGGTGGTCACGGGGCTGTTGGGGCCAGTACAGGAGACTCCCGCTGTCCCGGCGACGGCAACGGCAACGGCGCGGCAGAAGTGCGTGGGGAGGAACAACAAGGGCGTCACCTGGGGGTTCACTTCGGTGATTGGGAGGCGGAGAGAGATGGAGGATGCTGTCGCCGTCGTACCGGCGTTCCTGTCGCGCACGTGCGATCACGTGGGAGGGTGCACGGCCCCAGGTTCTAGAAGCTCCGCTGAGATCTCGCCCGTCCACTTCTTCGGAGTCTATGATGGTCACGGTGGCTCTCAGGTACTACTTCCAATTTAAGAAATTTCAAATCTTTCATTTCTTGAAATTTAACATATTATCATCATCATTTTTTTAAATTCTTGGACAATTAGGGTTAGTTCGTATATTGTCAAAATGATTTTTTCTCTACATCCATATATATATATATATATATATATATATATATATATAATTGCGAAGGATGACACACAGCTTACTAGGAGTGGTCAAATCAAGAGAATTTATGGCGCCTTTCATTTCGTTTTTAGACACGTGTCCTGGGAAGTCGTGTATTTCCAGTGCACGGGAGATACTAAAATCACATATTCCCTGGTGATGGTCATCACAGACACATATGATGTGTACACGCACACACAGAATGAAAATCAGTTCTGTATAAAAACTTGCCTAACAAAGTAACTAGGATGGTAAATGGAACTGAGTGGAGTCCAGTTAAGTCAAACTAAATTTTATTTTCTTGATGAATTCCACTTGGAGTAAAGCTTCACAATTCTAAATCGCTTGATACTTTGTTTGGTACCAAATCTTTTGAGATTTGGATTTGGATTCGGAAAAGGAAAAGGAATGGAATAGTATTTTCAATCTCGAATATAAGATATTAAAAATTGGAGTTTGATTGAATAAATTGTACTGTAAATTTTACTTACGCGTGGAATGGAATTGGAAGTGGAAAAAAATTAGTTCAAATTACTTATGTTTTGAATAGTGATTTAGGACTGAATTCAACAATTACCAAATTCAAATTATGTGTGAAGAGGTGATGGATCCGATCCCATAACGTCATGATGACGTCATATAGTAGGGTTCACTACGACACTCAAATAAATTAAATTCAGCAACTACCAAAATCTGTCATTAAATATATATATATATATATATATATATATATATATATATATTTTTTTTTTTCCCTGTATGAGATTTGTATTATTAGGTAAGGCGAAGGTGGGGGATGTGTTGTCATGTAATGAGAAGTGGTAAGCGGGAGGATGAGAAGGTTCCCTTTATATTGGAAAACAGTAGTAATGGGTTGGGGAAAGGGACCACAGCTTTATTTGTAGTCTTACACATGGACGATGATGCTTCCTTCCTAGGTCCCTATCCTTGCATCATCATTATGCCTTCTCATGCTCAGCTCGGGACATCAAAAACAGAACCTTCACCTAATGCCACCTGCAACCCCAATTTGGAAAACAAAAAATGTCAAATGATGAACCTCTTATTTGTCATATAATTAATCTACTTCTTCTATACTCTTCTTTACAATGGTTTTTTTTTTTTTTTTTCCTTCTTCTTTTCTCTTCTCGTGAACAAATTCATCATGAGCCATCCTTTATAATTGTTGCATTGATAGACTTGGACCATTAATAAAACAAACTTCTTCACATTGACACCGCCCTTGGCACCTTTACTTTTTAATTAATTATTATTATTATTTTTCCCAAAAAAACTCCAGTAATACTTTTGGGAAAACTCGAAAAAAGAGGAGATATCAGTAGACCACATGCCTTGCTAATCCTTTGTTCACATGCCTTCTCATATTGCTCAAGGTACATGCATGAACTCTTAAGTTTGAAGGAAAATCCATATAAGTAACCCCTTGTAAAAAGAGGAGTGTAATCAAGCTATTGAGAGTGATATAACTCTTGCCTTTGCACTGCTATGTATCTCGCTTTTATATATTTAGATGGAATAGAATTTATTGATCACACATCAAGGTTAGCTGCTAGCTTGACAATGTCCAGTTAACTTGACTGTTTTGAGAGTTGATTATTAGGTGGCTAAATATTGTGCGGAGCGGATGCATGAAGTGGTAGCAGAGGAATGGGATCGAAACACAGTTGACAAATTTGAATGGCGTCAGGGGTGGGAAGCTGCATTCTCAAGTAGTTTTGAGAGGGTTGACAATGAGGTCCTGACAGAGGCAGAAGCACCAGAAATGGTTGGATCAACCGCTGTTGTGGTGGTTCTATCAGGTTGTCAGATCATTACATCCAATTGTGGCGACTCAAGAGCAGTGCTTTGCCGAGGGACTGAAACAATCCCCTTAACTGTTGATCAGAAGGTCATTTTACAAACTCTCTTTTGCTTATATTGATCATTGCCATGATGGTACCATCCCGTTTTGATTTATCTTTTTTCCTTTCCATTTCTTGCCTTTTGTTTTGACATACATTTATGTACTGTTGGTTGCATGGAAATTAGGGGTTTTATTAATTTTTTTTAATTTATTCAACAAGTAAAAGACCGAGTAACCAATTAGACATGCGAATGCAGGTTTGAGTATGAGAACAACCAATTTATCCGGACGATACAAAAACTTAGATTTGTACCCTGTCTATACTTTTTTGCAACTTGCATTAGTTGGACAAGCACTGGGTAGCAGTCTTTCTAAACATTTTGTGTTGTTTGTGTGAATATATAGGTGCATAAGGGGGTAAAAGGAAAAGAATAGAAGATATTATTTGCCCTAATTGCCTTTTTTTTTCCTTTCCTCTTTTTGGCAGGACTGGTAATCATGTCATTAACATGTATTTCACTTACCAGGTTTAAAGCAACATTATTGTTGTCACTTTTAAAGCCTATATGTCATTAACATGTATTTCACTTACCAGGTTTAAAGACACATTATTGTTGTTACTTTTACAGCCTGATAGAGAAGACGAACTTAAGAGAATTGAAGGAGAGGGAGGGAAAGTCATAAATTGGAATGGTGCTAGGGTGTTTGGAGTTCTTGCCATGTCCAGAGCTATAGGTATATTTTTCCCTGTAATTCTTTCACTGCAAATGTTCTGTTTATCAACTGTAAAAGCTTGTTGACCATTGTTTTTTATTTATTTATCAGAGTATCTATTGATATAAGCTTTTTCCGAAGTCAAGTTTAAAAAATGTTAGCCTGCTGGTTCCTTGTACTGTAGTTTGTTCATAGAAGAAAGTAATTAGGATCGTAATCTTTTTGTGACACGCTACACCAAATTTTAAGAAAGATAAAGAAAGTTGCACTTTTATTTTGAACACGTATATTGGGGCATAGTAACATTTTTTAACATGATAACTGTAGAAGTTTTGAGCTACTATTAACATGACATAATTTTTTCAGAAGTTCTGAATCATTAGTTTTGTGATAATGCCAGGGAAAGAGTTATATACGGCATCAATCTATAATAGTATGCAAGATGAGAGGAAAATCATAATTGAAGATCTTGCTGATCTTGGGTGCTTTTTGTGTAGAGGAGATACTAGAGAATTATAATATAAAAAAGAATTCACTAAACTTATCGAATTAACTTCTCATTGATGTATTATTTCATCAAAATCCAATCCAAATCACGATGTCATTTTCTTGTTCCTGAATGGGACACAAAAGTCTGAAACTCATGAAATTTTGGAAAACTCTTTTTGCGTTATCAACTTCAGTTTTTTCCTGCTGCAAAAAGTATGTCGCTAAATGTTTACATTTTACTGAATTTTTTTTTTTTTTTTTTTTTTTTTTTTCTTTCTAATTGGTACTTACGCACACATACTTCCATCGAGACTTGAACCCCTGACCTTCCTTTGGAAAGTAAGGGCCCACTGGTCATTTTACTGATTTCTTGCTCTATCAGATCTCGGAAGGAACCCCATTATTAGGTTTTGCGGGTGAATAGAATTGGAATGAATATTTTCCAAATTTTTTTTATTTCCAACAAAAATGAAGATAACATATGCCTATATATATATATATAAAAAAAAAAAAAAAATTTATATATTTTCTTTGGCTGCCTATCGCTACCGGTATATAAATATTGCCTTATGAAAACGGTGGCTGGACAAGTACATTTTATATTTTTCTGGCTTAATACATGCATCTCCTTTATATCCTACGTTTATATGATATGAATGCTGCAGGTGATTGGTACTTGAGGCCGTGGATAGTTCCAGTACCAGAAATAACTTTCATGACAAGGAGTGATGAGGATGAGTGTCTGATCTTGGCTAGTGATGGGCTTTGGGATGTCATGTCAAGTGATGAGGTTGGGGAAATGGCTCGCCGCTTTCTAAGAAGGAGACGAAGGTCTATGATGGATGATGAGATTCCTGCAGCGCAAGTTGTTGCTGAAAGTCTTACTGAAATAGCTTTTGGGAGAAACAGTTCCGACAATATTTCTATCATTGTTATTGATCTAAAATCAAAGAGAAAGCGTCAGCAGCAGAGGCAATAGGAAAGAAAACTAAAATCAATCCTTTTACCCTGCCTCTTTTCTTCCCAAAAAATCCTATTCCTTTTGAATCCTAACAACCAAAATCCATTTGTTACTGCAGAACAGTAGAACATTCCTCAGTTTTAATTGGTTTGGTTGACAAAAAATAAGTAGTGGAGGAGGAAAACGAAAACATAAAGAAGTGTTCCTTCCAATCAGGTTCTATGAAAAAGCGTCAAATAAAGATGAGAAAGAAATATGGGAACTTTTTATTTCAAGCTACAAAATTATTCTTTCTTCTTTTTCAGTGCAATGGTATACGAAGAACTGAAGGGAAAGTGCAAATATAATGGCACTTGGAACCAAGAAGTATTTTTTTAATTTTATTCGAGTATGCCAAGAAGCAGAAAAGCTCAACTAAGACTCTGCTTGTTTAAGTTTCGCAGGAAGGAAAAGTTGATTTTCCCCATAAAACACTAGTTTCTTTAATGGGTGGGTACACAAAGGTAAAGAAGGAAAAGGAGCTCTTTTATTTCAAGCTGCTGCTTACTTTCATCATTATGTTAATCACTCAAAAGGAAGGAAGGTCTTGTGGTTGCATATATTATTATGTCTTTGTTGTTTTAATTGATTCATTTATGAATTGTTGAAGCAGAGTTTATAGAAAAATGGAGCTTGATGGCCTTTCTTGGTTTATTGTATTCAAACCAATGGTTTGCAGCAAATATCATTGGAATAATGTGTAAAAATCATGTACAGTAAATGGTCCTGTTGGAATAATTTGTAAAAATCATGTACACTAAATGGTCCTGTGTGTTCGGGTTCTTTTCTGAGACAATTTTATCCTGGCTGCGTAAAGCAGTTTGTCCTCCATTTGTTATTTTGTTAACTATGTTCATACTGACAAGTGCCTATTAGTAGCCTCCCTTTACTTCCTCAAAGCCATCGTGATAGCATTATTGTCTTTATGTTTTTGTTGAGTTGGTTTATTACTCTTATAATTTTTTATTTTTATTTTTGTTAGTGGCATGGTAAAGTTCCAAAGGATTTAATATTTGCTTCCAATGCTAAGTGAATCATAACAGAGCCTGTTAAAAAAAATTCATCACAGAAAATAGATGTCTCCCTTTATTGTCTGTTTCCATTTCTTTCCAATTTTTTGGTGGGGCAAGCTAGAGAGGGCCTAATATATTCGTAAATGATTATTTTCCCAGAAAGTGTTAACCACCACCTCCAGGGCTTCCGGAAGATTAAACATAAAACGGAGTGGCCAGACTTGCCATCCTTTGCAGCTGCATGAGGGGACTGGGCACGATATCATTAACATAATGGAGAGAATTTACGCATGTAACAATCAAACTCGTGTGATTTTATTGTACATATTATTGTACACATGAAGAAGATATCACAAATGAAGAACAAAACAAAAAAAGTTGCGCAAACCAAGGCATGCAATATTTATACACACCGAATTTTCTGGCGTACTATATTTGTACACTCGGAATTTCCTTTTTCTTTCTTCTTTCCTCAAAATTCACGAATATGTAGAAATAGAAGTAATATTCTTTACATAGATTACCCAGGCAACGTTACAACCCTAGATGCGTACTTTTTATGTTTGCCCAAAACTAACATTTCCACTATTAAGAAAACAAAAAACCTGCTTCAGATTTCCTCTGGAGGGCCGGGCATTTGTGGCATATTTACAGATAAATACCAGTCGTCGTCGCATCTCCGACTTAGTAATACATATTTCACTGAAGGACTTCCCATCATCAAATAATCCTGTTGGGATTCAAGCTTGATAAGTACTCAAAAGCATACACAAAATATCCATTCAAAACCAAGAAAAGAATAAGAAATGCTGAACCCACACAGGATACAGGTACATACCTTCTTCACTGAACAAGGATGTCAAGATTGCCAAAGAAACACAGATACTAATATCCTCTCCTGTAAACAGAGCAAACACAATGCAATGACTCCATATTCCTCCAATTTCGCAGAAAGGGGCAAAAAAAAAAAAAAAACAGTAAAGACAGATTATTACAAAGATGAAAAATGGTTACTTAAAAAGAATGTGAATGATATCATTTGGAGAAATCCTAAAAATATCTCACATTAGTATTGAAAATAGAATCGTACAAAATGTTAGCAATCAAAACAGCGAAAGGCCTCTTTCAATTGCCATCAAAGGCAAAATGGAAGTTTTCTGTTCACATTAGATGTCATGAAACCTGAAGTCTCGGCAAACCAAGTCATTTTAAGATTGCAACTACAACAGACAAGGTAAAATACAAGAATATGCTTACCATTACTGCAGCAAACTAGAAGTTTATTCCTTTTTCTTAGGTTCAACTTTGCAAAATTCACTGCGGAAGGGAGATTTCTTAACAGAGAGAACCTGTCCAATTTTGAGCTCTGGCCACACAAAAATAATAATAAATAATAACAATAAAAATCCAGAGGAAAACAACTATCAAGGGGAAACCAATAATAACGTTGCATCAATAGAATAACTAGATCCCAAAAGTTCCTCTCACACACCACAATTGGAAGGTGCAAGTATGCTTCAGCATTCTCGAGGCAGACAGAGATCGGCTCCTTATCACAGTTCAATATGCTATCGACATTAGAATAATTGACAGCTGCAGCAAGTAATATAAACCGGAGTCAGTGAAGTGGAAGAAAATAGAAAATGAAGTTTTATGGCTTACATAAAAGGGATAGCAAAATAGAAGGGTAGTAAAAGATGAAGTAAAGGCCAGCACAAAGTCTGCAATCACTAACCATTAAGCACTACCTGCTAGTGGATTAAAAACATATGTAGGGTTCTTTCTAAATTAACTTCAAAAGGTAGAAAAGATATGGGCAACTCAAATTCCTTATATATCTGTATGGTAGAAAAATGATGTTTCAGAATCTGACCCCACTACCATGAGAGAGGAAGGGAGTTCTTACAAAATTCGATGAGTGAAGATGTTAAAATTTCTTTCTAGGGAGGAAGAAGACAGAAGACTAGTGCCCAAACCACATCACTAAAATCACTACCAAATTTTGTATGTCCTGATAGTATTGTTATCAACATGAAACTTCGGCACTAAGCATCACGTGCAGCCCAATGAGGCCACCATTATCATTAGCTCCCTCACTCGCCACCATCTTTAGTTCCACCACACAACCACCATTGGTGACCACCACTTCCCCCACCATTGCCCCTTACAGTCCTTCTATGGCACCTGCACCGCAATGCTACACCACTACCTCTAATGGTGCCTCCTCCATTCATGTCCACCACAATCCAGACGACATTCCCCAACCCGTAATCCAAAGAATGCAGTCAAAAAAAATAAGTAACAAGGCCACTTAATTTTAACTTGTATATCAATCATCAAAGAAACAAACAAACAAACAAAAAAGATAAAAGATTTTTAATGAATTCAAGAATTCTGCAGAAAACAAGAATGTATAAGCAATAATACCATGTTGAGTTGCACCAACAGCAAGACTTGTTAAACCCAACAAAGATATAGTGCAACCGTCACTGTAGGACTTCCCACTGTTTTTGATGCCTGAAATCTCAAAGTCTAATGGTACTTCAATAGAATAATGACAAGTGTGTCTTGACAACTTGGAAGGCTTGACAGATAGCTGAGGAGCATTATGTCCTCTTTGTGCACGGTATACCCTGTCCTTTTCAACAATATCAGCTACTTTCTGGTTACACAAATGAGGTCCTGAATTTATAAGATCATAGGCATGATTCCAGAAAAGCTTAGGTGATAAACCCCTGGTCCAACTTTCTTCATCATCTCCAGCTCCTGGTATATAATTCCAGCTAAATTCTGAAGTAGTCCTTTTATGAATGCCACTTGTGGAGGAGGCAGAAACAAGTATGATAGGTGTGAAGTCCCAAGAATCACATTCAGGCACTTCATTTAACCATATGACAGTTTTTTGTGAAATCCATAGTGGCCGTAATGGCTTTTTCAAGGAAGACGCAAGCGAGGCAATATCTGCTCCACTAGCTTCCAATTGCATAATCCATCCTTCCAAGTGATCCTCAATAGCTGCTTTCTCTGTTTCAGGCACCCAGAGGGGTAGATGCAAGGAACAATCCCATTCAGGAGAGACTTGTTTAGTATTTTCAGCAAGTGGATCAGAAGTATCTAGCTCCTGTTAAAACACATGGACCAAATAGAGATGCATATGAATATGTTTATTTACAGTAATGACAATGCTCATAGAGGATGTGACATCCTGAGAACCCAATATCATGGCAAATTTGGTAAATTAACATAAATGCAAAATATAATGTGTACTTAACACAAATTACAGTCAGTGTAACCCTTCATATGTAGAACTTAGAGCATGAATATGAACTGCACTCCACAGATTTAATTGCATACAAGCAAAGTTGTCCTTTGGGATATGTGCCGACCAGTAGAAACCATGAAAAAGCATAAAAGAACAAAAAGAAATGTCTTCCACTAGCTAAGAGAAGCAAGTATTCTTTGTTGGTATCTGTTAGATGGGAAAGACAGACTAGGTATAGACGTAACCCTTTGGCATTGTTTGCAGAAATTGACTCAACCCCACATTCTCATACTTAAAAATAAGCTTTCACCATATCACCAACCAATGAACCTTGCTTCAGTCCCACTAAGTCAACCTCTTAAAATAGCAGGAATTCCTGCACTTAAATTGCAGTTTGATTTCTGACCCAAAGCACCTCAGGAAAATCCTCCATCAAACAAACTACAATGCCTATAGCATAATAAGGAAAATGGGGATAGTATACAAGAAAACAACGTGTAATTTTGGTAAATACATATTGTAGTAGAACTCACATCACCTGGAATTCACAATTTTCTGCCGATTTTTAACTGCTCCATATAACTCCAACACCTCAATTTGGTTTATGGTTTTATCACCGTGCAAATGTTAAATGGCTTCACCCTTTCCCCATCTTTTTAGCATTTAAATTAATACTGCATTTAATTTAATACCCAAATCTCTAAATATCTTGCTTTCCTGAATTTCCAGAAACTAGTTTTCTATATTATTTTTAAACTCAAGCCTAATACGATCCATTTCCATCTACAACCCCTTCAACCTTCTTTTTTTATTTTTTATAAGTCTGAAACCTTCTTTTTCCCAGAATCAAATGTACAATGCAAAATAAAGAACTGTGCCACAGACATAAACCCAATCACCAAGTTTAATCAAAGATACAATATCTGCTTCAACCACGTAATGTGATCATGAGAACTAACACTAAGAGAGAGAGAGAGATAGAGAGAAAATAAGAACATCTCGGTTCTATCATCAGGGCCGGTTCAAATCTTAGGCCACTGAGGCAATGGCCTAAGGCCCCAGCATTCATGGTAAATGTTTTATCACTTGATGTATCTTTCTTCATTTTTAAAATAGATTCTTTATAAAAAATGCAAAGTTAAATACATAGAAAAATGTGATGAAATTTAAATTACACACACAATTCTTAATTCTATTACTACGCCAATGTCATGTTTTTTCTTATTTTTTAAAAATTCTTCTCAGTTGTTAACAATAACATATTCAAGTGACTTAAAACAACATAAATTCTTGAGTTTGCAATGTTTCCAATAACAAAGTTAGGATTATGTTAATTCAAATTGTAATTACAAACTGAGAAAAACTAAGCTGCAAAGAAGAGGATGCAGTGGCAATAAGAAAAAAAATAGCATGGTGGTACAAAAATTGAACTCTCACCAAAAGATTCCATTGTAGTAGAACAAAAGGGGTAGCCATTACTAGGATCCAAAACTAAGACCATCTCTGTCAAAGTCTTATTGTTCCTACTACTTTTTACTAAAATAATTTCAAGTAATTTTCTTCGTGCTTGTCACTCATAATTATATTATGAAAAACTTGCATTGAGTTTTCTGTTTACATTTTTTTGTTCTTCAATTTCAACTGAATAAGTCTATTCTTACTGAAAGTTACTCTTTTCATGCTATTATGTTCACAGTATAAAGTGTTTAATTTGATGTGCTTTCATGTTTAGTCCATGTAATATATATGCATCACATGTTGACAACTTTTTTTTCCAACATGAATTTTTATGCTTCTATTTTGATGACTAAGAAGAGGAGTTAAAATTACACAAAAATTTACAAAAAATAATCATTTTTAAAGGCCTCATTTAGTGGTCTCGCCAAAGGCCTCAAATTATATTGAGCCAGCCCTGTTTATCATTGAACAAGACTACAATGTACTAAATTTGAGTGTCAATCTATAGCATTAGATTTTAGTTACGTACTACCTTAACATACAAAAGGACAGAAAATGAATGAGAACCCTTCAGTTAACAGGACTATGGCATATAAAATTTGATAATCAATCTAGCAAATTTCATTATAGTTACTACCTCCATCGGCATCCCAGCTCCATGCATGTTCACATAATTCAAAATTGCTCGATTCAACACACATGTCCAAATTGGTATTGTCTTAGACATACTGTCTGGAAACCTCTTCCCTTTCCGAGTTGAATCAACAATTATGCAGCCTCCCTTCTGTCCTACCCATTAAAAAACAAAGAAAAACATACCCTCTTAATATCATCACTAATGCATAATCAACACACACAACAAATCCCACTGATTAACAGAAATTCTTTCAGAATTCATCACATACAGGTTAGGGAGAGCAGGAGTGGGGAGGGAGGAAGACATCCCATAACTTGCATAACTCCAAAAGGCAAAACAGCTACTTGCATATTATTAATCCAATTGACATAAGCAAACAAAACACAATATCACAAACCATATCCAAAGTTTCTTCCCGAGACCATCTCAAAAACTTATCATGAAAAGGATATATATAGGTTAGCGCGAGAGAGCACTAACAATTTAAAAGTAATTAAAAAAAAAAAAAAAAAATTAAGCAATGTTACATGGACTCTTTAAAAAACTAACTGAATTGGATAATTAATTATGAAAAGACTAAGTGATTGTCCAATTAAGTAGTGAAATATCTGTGTCGGACACATATTACACACAAATGGGATAGAGCATGTGTTTCAGGCTTTTGGTTGTACACCATTTTAATTTTAATTTTTATCATCGTCCTTAGCTTAATCCCATATTATCGTTTTTATATTTTTTTAAATTTTAAAAAGGACACGTGTTAACTTGTCATTGTGACAGATCACTGATTTGCCCCCGCTGAAATAAATAAAAAATAAAAAAAACTCCACTATTGCCCCTCAACATTTTGTTAAAGATCGGCCCTCACATACTATTCTGGAATATGGGTCCATCACTGCCCAATTTCCAAAAGAAAATAAAAATATCAAATAATAACAATATTTAGCAGTGTCCTTTTAATTTCCGGTTTTTTCGGATTGGACCATCTTGCCCCAACACCCCCTTTTCTTTGCAGTCCATTGGAAAGATTTAATTACATAATCAATTATCTTTGAACTAATAAAAACACAAAATCTCCATTGTCCAGTCAATAAAAAAATTTCTTTTAAATGAAAACACACTTCAGATTTCAGAATCCAGTATATACACACATATGCATTTAAATATATATATATATATATATGTACATAGTTTTATTAGAGATATGTGGTACCTACCAGCGAGAAGGGCGACGTGGAGGTTGAGTCGGGAGGTGTTGAAGGACCAATTGTTGGTGTGACCGTCGGTGGACTTGAAATAGCAAGTAGAGTGGAAATTGGAGGAGTACCAAAGACCACATCGGAGGTTGGCGAGGAGTGGTAGTTGGGGCCATAGCTGTGCGATCTCTCCGACGAAGATCGAGTCCTCGTAAATTGATCGGAGTGAGTTGTACACACATGAGTTCTCTTTCTGTTTTATCGTTCTCGCAGCTTTGTATATGCTCACCGGCCTCCCCCCATCCATTGCCAAGCGTACGATCGATTGATTTCTAGGGTTTCACCGATTGTAAAATCAGTCAGTGTGTACTCAGACGAGACTAGCTCGGCTTTGTCCCTTTGGTGAACTTTATGTATTTCCACTATGACCCTTATTTAACTCATAGGACAGCTTATCGGTAAAAGACCCGACCCATTTCCACATATACATCACGATCCGTAAAGGGCCCGACCCATTTCCACATATACATCACACCCCCTCAGAGAAGGTCTTCCCTGTAGCCGTAGATCTCAAAACTCAGCCCATCATCATCTCTCACTACAATTCTGCTTCGGAAACATCAACTTTCCGGCGATTCTCGGCTAACTTTCCGGCGTTATTGCCTGCAAATAAACATCGAAGTGCTCCATTCAATCTTTTGCTGGTTATTCCAAACTACATTTGTTACTTCCTTTGATACATATATATCATATCTATATAAGTGTGTGTGTGTTTATCTATGTTAATATTGAATCATTTGATGGTCATTTTAACTAAAGTCAGCTACTTATATGGTTCATCTTTGTTTATTTTATATGTTGTTTAGATTCTAATTTTTTTTTTTCTTATTTAAATTAATGTGTAAGCAGTACAGTGAACTCAATTTTGAGATATGGTGGTAATGGTAGTGACATTGATCTTGTGTGCCTTATTGGGTGCTTTACTTGTAATCCCGCGATTGCGAAAATCTGGTAATGGACCTTTTTTGTCCTCATGCTTTTTTCCTTTAAAGGTCTGATTGTAGAAGTTCAAATATGAAATGACTTGCAATATCTAATCTATTCAATGTTTGTTTTATGGAAATCTGTACAATGCAGACCAGAGCAAAAAGAGCCAATCAATTGGTAACAATAAGGTATGTTTGATAACATGAAGTTCATATATTCTATTTTTCTTTTTCTTTTTTTTTTTTTTGAACATTTTACTGGTTTTGCATCTCAGTTATTTACTTGGAGGAATAAACAAGAGCATTAAATGTATAGATGTAGTTATATACATACGTATTTGTGGCTTCATACTCGAGAAGAGGGATTCTAAGAACTCTTATAGCTTGCAAAAGGCTATCTTTTTAATTTGCAGTGTGTACTTTTAACAGGACTGACTTTGTGTATACTAATTTGATTGTTGGTTTATGGCATTTCTTTCTAAAGGAAAGTTGAAAATGCAGGCATATATAAGATATTTAATTACCTGTTTATAACCAGAAAAGTAGTGTACTTATGTATGTTGGAAAAGTAGAGAGGATCAGCATTGATGAGTAGTAGTTGGGACTGTTATAGTAAGCCCCAACTCCATTCCAAAAGCAAAAAGGAGTGTGCAGTAGTGGTTGTGATATCTGCACGGTAAAGACACCGTTGACGTTTCCAGTTAGCCAAAAAACTAAGAAACTGCACTCAAAGGGCACATTTTAAGAATGATGTAGTATCAGCATTGTCATTTGATTACATATTATAAGAATGAATGTATGTCAAAATGCCTGAAATTTTAGAGTTTGGTTCATTTTTGTGATATAGAATGCCAAAGTATAATGATTTTACGTTGTTCATCTTGTTATACATACCCCTGCTTGCAGCTCTAGGACAGTGCTACATCGAACTTTGATCGCTATATATTATAATGAAATAGATTTTTTTCTTCATATTAGTATAATTTTTTTGTCATTCTGGTGATCAATTTGATGAGTATATCATTCATATCGATCGCCTCTATTTTCTTGTTTCCAGACTTCAGTATTGTTTTCCTCATGTTCTTTTTTTGCACTTAGGCATCAAAAACATATACTAAGGCTGAAGTTTCCTTGCATAACAAGAGGACTGATTGTTGGATCATCATCAAAGAAAAGGTTCGTCAAATCGCATATTTTGACACTTGATTTGAATGTTTAAAAGAAATAGTGATGTTCATGTGGTTACGTCATTGTGGTTGATTTGTTACTGTTTCAAAACAACTGTAGGTATACGATGTTACCTCATACGTAGAGGAACATCCTGGAGGTGATGCCATCCTAGCACATGCGGGTGATGATTCAACTGAAGGGTTTTTTGGGTAAGCATCTGTCGAAGTAGTTTTTCCTTGTCACCACTCATTTTGCAGCAATAAGAATGCCCTTTTTCTGTTCTAAAATTAAAGATCAAATGGAAATAGAATCTTTCTTCCGGCGATTCATCAAGATTACACAACTCTGAACCATGAGATAGGATCGTCCTCTCAAAATTATTATTCATAACTGCTTTCAGAATTCTCAGAATTTATTTTTGTTCCCTTGCTTTTGTATTTATGCTTACAACCTATTGCATTTTTGCTTGTGTGACAGGCCACAACATGCTACTCGAGTCTTTGACATGATCGATGACTTTTACATGGGAGATCTGGAAAAGTAATTACAACCATCTGTTTGTATTTAATTAATAGAATTGTATCTGGAATATTGTTTACATTCTGGTTCATCCTTTATGAACTTTCTACCTAGTAAGAGCTTATTGGGACTAGTTATCTCTTCTATCCCTCCATATATAATTTGATTGAGTAGGTTCATAGCAAAGTTTGTATCAAGTAAATTTTTTATGTGAAAATGCCATAGCTTGGAGCAGCATGATACATATGCTCATCTTTTTATTGTGTTTTGACAGTTCCATTGCTACAGCCATATCCTTATATTAACTTTTTGATGCTTTTCTGTATAGAGAGAAACAATAACCTAATGTTCCAGGTAATTTTATAGAGAAAAATTAAGATAGATAAAGTCATAAAAATAATGTTGTTATTTGCTGAGTGGAGTTACTTCTGTCAGAGTAAGTAGCTCTGCCATCGGTTCTTCAACTTCAAGATTCAATTCATTTTTTGCTCTAATTATCTTTTTCATGAAGGAAAAAAAATTGAGAAAAATGCGGAGAACCAATTTCAATAGATGGGCAAGCTGGATGCCTTACAGCTTACACACTGATAATGTTTAACAATGGATTCGGCTCGGATGCTGGTTTTAAACATGTCACATATAAATAACAGTGTAGAAAACAAATGACTAGGGTTAGGGATGACCATAGTGCAATTTGATTAAATAAAAAATAAGAAATGAACCCAATCCTACCTAACCATCACTAATCTGAGAAAGTATTGGGTACCCCGGGAGTGCCTAGAATATAGTATCCCAAGCCAATGGATAATTGTTATTATCTATTATCAAGGAAAATAGAGAGTTTTTATCAGCTGGAGGTAACTGGTACTACATAGTAGGCACCCTTGAAAAAAAAAATCCCACTAATCCAGGGTTAGTTTGGTGCATGCACATATTGCATTATTTTCCAGTCATATCTATGATTCTTCTATTACAATGACACTTGCATTCATGTATATAATGCAACTTAATCGACTAAGTCTACTCATATTTATACAAAGTTTTTGGTTGAAGTTTATTTTGCCCTCGTAAAGTTTTTGGTTGAAGTTTATTTTGCCCTCGTTCCCTCTTTAGATGCACCTTACAAAAAGATTGAGAAATTGTGAGGTATATCTGAAACGGCCATCTCACCAACTCTCAACTACATCTTACTCTCTATCGCATCCAGTTCAAGCTATTTTTTCTTTTTCTTTCTTTTTATTAGTGGAACATCAGTACATTACAAGCTTAAAAGGCTTAGAAGAAACCTATTGTGGGATTGAACCCCCCAACATTTGCCAAAGCACGAGGACTGGTAAACATAAATATGACACTTCTTTACTTGGAAATAAGCGAAGCATTGAGAAAACATCTCAACCTTCTCTTCAAAATCTTTAAAATTGATCCGTGGAGAACAAACCCGCCTCTTTCTCCCAATAAGCTACAACCATTCTCCAATTCCACAAGAAATAAAATTTTAATTTTTCAAAATTGAACAACATAATCCTTCCAGTGTTTTGATGGGAACTAATTCCACAAGATAGTGCTGATGGCTTGAAACGACAGTGTATTGCTCACTTTCTTAGCAGCATTGAATGGAGACCTAATTAATAAATTACAGATAAATACAAATTACAAAATCGGCTCAGAAGGGAGGCTGAAGCTGAATAATCAATTGATGGAATGAATCAAATTACAAAATCAGCCCAGGAGGGAGATTGAAGGTGAAGAATCAATTGATGGAATGAATCGAAGAATGAAGAAAAAATCCTAACACCTAAATAAATCAAAATCATCAATCGGCCAATTATATTGGAGGTTGAATGTTGAATGTTAACTCCCCAAGAACTTCTTCTCAAGTCCTTGTTAGAATCAAACCTCGAAAGGAAGAGCAGATGATCACAATTTTTTGTTTGTTAAAGCTCATTCCTAGACATCAAATTTCTTGGGCTGACGCCACTGAGCGAGACTTCTTGACAAAGAGCCGAGAAACGAAGCTCTTGGTGGAGCTCCTTTCTTCCCGTATAAATGCTTTCCTCCCAAGTCTGTAAATTTTGGACCCATGTCCTTGCTTCTTTCGATCTGCACGATATAAAAATTCCTAATGTTAGAGAGTAGTGAAACAACATGCACAACGCTCATCTACTTATATGATTCAACTTTTATAATAAAGCTCGTTGTCTCTCTCTCTCTCTCTCTCTCTCTCTCTCTCTCTATTGTGTGTGTGGATTCAGAACTATAAGGTGTTTAAAGCCATATTAGAGGGTGGATATCAGAATTCGGGACATGCACATATTTATGTCCTTCAATCAATACCTTTTTGTTTTAATTATGAGCTAAAGCAAATTTATAAATCTTGGCATAGTTTGCAAAATGGAAGTAACATTGGAAGAAACTCATTCTTAGAATACAGAAGGCCTCATCAAGCATACCATGCATATCTTCCCATTCTTCAAGTGGTAACGGATGCTGGACCAGTCGATAGACTGCGAAAAATGTGAACGTATAGCAGAGACTGGGTATAAAAAATTATCCACCAGCATTGCAATAAATACCTGATCCATTGAACAAACTTCAACTTAGTAACTACTAATCAGCATCCCAGCTGCAACAAACTGGATGATAGAGGGTCTATTTATATAGGGGACTTTTTTACTAAAAACCAGCTCATATTTACTTTATTCTTAACAAATTCTAGCTCAAACATTAATTCAAACATCGTTTTGAAATTGCACTTGTTTAACTGATATGATGTCAAATTCACAGAAATAAACAAAGGATATTTATGAAGGGTTTTAGAAAAAATTCACTCAGCCGTAGAGGCAATTACAGATAACTCTTGAAATTTGAAATGAAAAAATGGTAACTCGAATTATTTGTATGGACTCTTTCTGCTTAATGAGGAGATATATATATATATAAACTTACAAGGCACCAGTTGTAAGAACCAAGTGATAGTGGAGGTGCCTCAGGAGATAACATGTTGCACAGTTTAACTTCTACTCTTGTCAAGTTCCACATCGAAAGAAGTTCTACAACAGTGCATATAGCTAGGCAGCCTACTAGGAGTAACCCTGAACAAAACAATTGATAGAACGTAAGAATAAGAATTGCAAATATAAAATAGGCTTCATCTAAAAAGAATGACCCCCAAGAAACAAGACAAAATCTAACAGGAGCTAGTTACAAAGATGCCTTCTTTTTTCTTTTTCTTTTTTTCTTTTCTCACAATTCCAAAAAAGAAACAACAAAGAAGACACGCATGCATTAGTTTTTCACTTCTGGTTGCACATCCAAAGCGCTTTTTTCTTTCTCATGTGACAATTGAAAAATTACTTAATACCCCACATTTAGTGACTAGCACAAGATTGCACAAAAGGATGGAACCATGCACTTTGAATAAATTATCAAAAACTATAATAAGGACATGAATCCAGCAAAGAAACCATGATACTTTTCATATCTAATAAAGTTAAGCTAGCAATCCTATTGATCACACTCCACCATGTTCTGTTTAAATATTCCTACTATGTTCCAAAGGTCGTACCATTACACATTGTATTCAATTTGCAGTGTAAAATAAGTAGGATATGCTTTGTTAGCCTGAATCAGGATTCTGCTCATTAATATCTTAACACTGATACCCACAAAGAAAAAGTAGTGAGCTCACCACCAAAAGGAAATGCTGTTTCCTCAAGTGAATACCCTTTGGAATGAATTCTTAACGCTGCTGCAACATGAATCACAGCCATAATGTATGGTGCTACAAATCCCCATGATAGATAGCAGTGGACAGAAAATAATGCACGATTCATCACCCAATTAATCCTTGTAGCATATGATTCCAGAACAAATGTCTGCTTCCTCAAGTAATTCCAATACCTACAACACAAGTAAAAATGTCAAACATGGGATCGTGTATGACCCTTGTGTTGCAGTGCCTGTATTCTATTAAAAAATTTATGGCCAGCACATATCAAACCTTGAAAAATTAAGATCGCTTGCAAGGGGGTGAGGAAAAACAGCTACTGGTGGCGATGTGATAAGCCTGTTATGAGCCCCTAGAAAACAGAATGATGAGGTCAGCATAAAAATGAGCACTTTAGCAGCTAGAGAATGCCAAATTCTGAAAACTAAAATTCCATGCAACAACTCACCACATAATGGTGACTATTGAAAACAGAAGAAATGCAGGCACGTGATTCTGTCAGACCAATAAATGTAGGCCTTGTAATGACATGAATGTAACTACAACCAAAAGTATCCACCATGCATTGGATATAGTCTATATAGTAGCGGTCCACCAAGGACAGCAATTTGTGTTCATCATCTTATCTTAAATGACTCAATTTCAGCAAGTATGACCAAACCAGCCATTATATAGTAGGGGAGTTGAGAATTAATACTAATAATTTTCATCCAGCTACATGCCACATAAATGAGAATAAAAATTCAAATTGTTCGAAATATGTAATGAAAGTGTCATTCCATTTACAACATCTTCCTCTATATGTTCTCTTTTATATAGACTACAAGAAAATTACACCCAAAATAAAAAATAAAAAAATCTTAAGGTAAATATCTATCAACTCTTAAAATAAAAATTTAGTGAGAGTTGGTAACTTAGTAAATAGATCAGTTCATTGGCCTGAGATTTTTGAGTGTGAGTAGAAGGTGAAAATATAATAAACAATGGCTTCAAGTCTCTTAAGTCTAATCAGATCTGCTTACAGAGGTAAAGCAGTGGAATTTACCAGCTATAGCTGCAAGAGTCATGTCATCAGAGTATCCCCCATCTCGAAGTCCTGTAACCACCCCATGATGGTCATTTCTAAAATCATCTGCATGCATCTGAAAAAATAACATATAAAACAATATGAACATAACATTTCAATTTTGCGCTTGTAAAAAGTTGGTAGCAGCTACTTACCATCATGCACCCTCCCCACAAGAAGAAAGTTCTTCCACCAGTAGCAAACCCCATCGAACAAGGCTGTAAATAAATAATATACACCCAATGAATTGAAGAATATTGTAAAGTGTAAACGAGTAAGCTAAATAAAGCATAAATAACCTATAAAACTAACCACCTAAAAGATTTCAAACAGTATCACTCCAATAATAGTCAATTCTAAATATGCTACAATAATTTTTTACACCCAATGAATCAACTCAACAAAACCTAGTCAGCTAATCCCAACTTCATTTTGATCTCTTGGTAAAGGTAATTCCATAACATGCCAAATTAATTGGTAATCTGTATACTCTGTTCCAAAGAAGCATAGATATGGACACAGGACATGGAGATGCCCACGGCTAATATAGAAATAAATTTTCATTTATATACCTACTGAGAAAGACAATTATAGAACTTTAATTATGTTAAAAGTCTATACTAAAGTTACAAAATTTAGAAGATGAAGCTATTCCAATGTCAAAAAGGATATGCTATATTTTATACAATATTACTATCCTATCTTGTCATAATAGTTATGTTCGTCATTAACATGTGTTCAATGTAATTTTTATTATTATTATTTTAAAGGAAAAAATAGTTTGTGGGATGTGTTGTCGAATGACCGAAATGTGTTGACTAAGTATCCAAGGTTTGTCAGCCAAGTTTCTGAAATAATAAAAATTATTTTTAAATTATGAATACGGCCATGAAGTGTTAGTGTCTGACACGGACATGGCACCTTCATGGAAGTGTCAGTGCTTTTTAGCTCTGCTCTAACTGCAATTCAAATCCCAAGTTTTTAAAAGTTCATCATTTCGAAATATGAAACTTCACGGAGTTGTAATCTCTTATCATGCTAATGCTTCGTCATAACTCAGGAGGAATTTGGTTGTTTTTCAGTTCAAGAGAGGATTAGCATATCTTTGAAATTTCAATTCGTATAATTCACAATCTTGTAGAAAGAACTGGTAATAAAACATTTGTTTCTCTCTTTACTTGTACTAAAAACACATTTCTTGTAAGTCTTGTAATAAAATTTATTCTACAATATCTACAATGGATAAAAATACACCACCCCAGAAGTTGGGGAACAAACAGCACAGCATGGTATGTGGGAATATATGTATATGGACAATGAATGAAACTAAACGGGGAATTCAGTTGCTGAAATTACCATATGATATTCATAAATACAGTAACTTCCTAGACTTCCAGACGGTAAATCAAGAGGGTATCCAGTTTGAATAAAAATCTGCAATTCATTTGCAACAACATTAAGACAATTAGAGTAGAAAAATCTAAGCCAAACTGATCATAACCATAGACTTGAGGAAATATTTAAAAATAATATGTGTTGGTAAATTAAAAGCATGTTTTTACAAAATCATACCTTGGGATTTTTTTCCATCTCAGCAGTGAGGGCTCCAATTGTACCAGGGTGCAGCCTCACATCATCATCTAGGAATAATACATACTTGCAGTCCTTGTGCATTCTCTCCACCCCAACCTGCACAAAGTGCAACAGTATATATGATGACCAATAAAAAGAAAAAAAGAAGAATAAAAAAGACAAAAGATTTACGATTCCACAAAACAATATAATCAACAGACACTAGAAGTATAAACGGGCACTCAATGACAAACAAAATTTTAAGTTGTGATACCCATTTCCATTATAAGATTATATACAACTCAGACCTATCCAACCTCCAGTGCAAACAAATTTATCAAACATGGGTAAAACAAAATATATATACATATATATATGCAGTATGCACATTGGAAAAATAAAGTAAAATAACATTAGGTCTATGTTTGTCATAGGCAAAACCTACAAAGTCATGAGCTTGTTGCTTACCAACTGATTGTGAATTTTTTGACTACAAGTCGTTGAAAAACCAGCTACTAAAACCTTTGCATCAATATTGTCCTGCATCCGTTTGCACAAGACAGGAAGGGAAGTTAGGTTGAAGAAAATCAAGTCTCTTGCAAATTAAATGAGATGTACCAACAAAAATAATTAACGATTCAGCATGTGATAATTACTTGAGATTTACATCATGGCAGAAACCCATAGGTTGAGTCATAAGAAAGCAGCTCTATTACATTGACTCCTTTGTGCAAGACCTAGGTATAGGAACAGGTTTATATGTTGTTGACATGCACTTGGCATCTATATCTGATAATTCAAGTTTACTACATAATTGTGCCAAAAACTCTCTTATTATCTTTCTTTTGTTTCATTAATTGTACCATGTTTAATACTCTATGCTATTAGGAAAAAAAAAAAAAACTATTTTACCTATAAAAAAATATTTAAAATATGAATATTAAAAATGGTTGGGTCTTGTATTAATGGATTTCAGGATTTTAAAAAATCCAATACTTGCACAAATAGCCACAGCTAACACATGTACCCACGCCAATTCAACATTAGAAGAAGAAGAATTTCAGGATTTTATAAATCCAATACTCACACAAATAGCCACAGCTAACACATGTACCTACGTCTATGTGGCATTGAAAGATCGAACAAGTGCCATCCCCATAAAATCATAAAGTTGCATCAATATTTAAAAAATTAAATAAATTACAAACAATCATGGTTTCAAAAGAATATCTATATAATCAAGAAAAAAACGAAATTAGTAGAAAACAAATCTTCATCGTAAGACAAAGTGCTGTGATGGGACAATATATACCTTAAAATCTGATAGTAACCGAGTTACCGCACGGTAAGCAGGATCTTCTGTACTTTCCACCACAAAAAGAAATTCTAAAGGACCACCATACAGAGATGTGATCTGCATTCAATCATTCATGAACCAGAACTATAATGAGGGCTACAGAAGTTTCATGTTTAACTAAAAAATCTTGTAATCTTGGAGTCATGGTATTCTAAATCTTGTAATCTTGGAGTCATTGTAAAGAATACCATGACAAGATTACAGAAGTTACATGATTAACTAAAAAATCTTGTAATCTTAAAATCTCAACTAATTTGTAAAGAATACCTAGCAGGCCTTGTAATCTTGAGATATTTAGTTAACCAAACGTCATGGTATTCTTTACAAATTAGTTGAGATTTCAAGATTTTGTCTTCATGTCCGAATGAATAAAATAAAATACTTATCCAACGGGAAGGTGCATAAACTGTCTCTTATCTTATGCATGCATTTAATCATTAAAACGAAACTTGTTGTAAACTTGTAATAACCAAGGAAAAACAGAGATATCAAAGAAAAGGCAACCAATTAGTTTTGTTCAACTCTTTGGAGAATCTTATAGCTAGTATGTGTTAATAAGTCACCTGACTTCTCCAATTGTGTAGATTGTGCTCTCCAAACCCTTTCAAAGGCATTACAACTGTCACTCTTGGCAGGTTGACCTGATTAGAGTGCTCAAGGTCATTGATATCATGACTAAGAAACGCAAAGCTATTGCCACCATTCATACTATCCTTCATCTGTCTAATCTCTCTATTTCTGTTAGAAGAAATAAAATATTATTGAATCTAAAAAATTAATGTGAGTTTTCCTACCAAAGTTTATGGAAAGAATAAGTAAATGCGCTGTCACCACTAAAATCTCCAAAGCTCGATACCTGACATAAGCAGCAAAAGCCCACCCAAGTGCAAGAGTTAAGCATATGAAATATCCCTACAACACGAATAAACTCAGGTTATATCACACTAGAATGCCAGAAAACATGGCCAAAAGTAATACAAAGAAACCAAGATATAAAAATATCACTACAAAGTAAGATGAGTTAGACAGATAGTTTGGTCAATTAATAAAAAATCATTAGCAGAAATCAGATCAAACAAGTATATTAGATGTAAATGTAAAATAAAATAAACCTCTACTGCAAAGAAGGAACAAAAAAAATTAAGGTGCATAAATGAAGAGAAAATACCACAAAAGGTCAACATTGTATCATCTGATGTGGCTTGAACCATTCTTCTACATCAGGATCCTAGGGCATGAAGTAATTATAAACCTTAGAATTAATGCTGATTCCTAGCATTTACGAAATGATTGAAACCCACGTAACATAACAATGCTACTCCTATTTAGGATTTTTTATCTTGTGCTAATGTACCAACAGATGATGATCATGACACTTTTGTAGGCAGCAACTGCTGTGACAAAGACAAAGGTCTTTAGCATTGAGGTCTCATTGTCAGTCAGTTCATAGCCATTTCATCCACAACTGTTCTTGCCAGTGTGCTTATCACATCCATTGCCAGGAAAATCCGGAAATAATTTCAATGACTAAAAGAATCAAGATTTAATATTAGCGGGTACAACCTACCTTTACAAGAATACTCGGATTCATAAAAAATCACTACTCATGCACCCATACTTCGACCCAAAAGGAAAACACTACTCAACTTTTACTCATGTGCTTTTCTCAATTTTCAAACTCAAAGCACACTTCCGAGCACAAACCAAACTTCTTAGATCCTTTAGCTTATTCACTGTCTCATCAAAGCCACTAGTAATTATGCCTATATTGACCACCTCTGGGACACATTGTTTGGTTTCTTTACAGCTTAGTGATTTTGTTAGCAATAAAAACAAGAACTTAAAAAGATATGCTACTTAATGTCCTAAATGAATGAAAACACAGCTTCATCCTATAAGTTAGTTTTCAGTGAAAAGATTACATAATTGAGCCACAATTCAAGCATATATGATCTTTGTTATGCCCCAAAGTCCTAATTATAGTACAACGAAACCTATTTTTCCCTTTTAACAGAAAATATATATGTTGTAATCACAAAATGTCGTGTCTTATAGATTGAGTTCCGCTGATCAAAACTTCATGGAGTTAATAACTTCATCAATCCATAATATATAAAGTTTCCCAACAAAAATGTAGAAAAAGGAATTAACTTTTTGTGCTGTGAGGTCACAATATCAAACATAAAGTTCAATAGAAACTAAATCTCTAATTGGTTGCTGAGAAAAAGTGTAGGCAAATTAAAAAAATAAAAATAAAAATAAAAAAAGGAAAATGACCATTCCACACCCATAATTGTACTTCAATACAATCAGTTTACTGAAGAAAAAATAAAACTGGTTATCTCCCCTTCAGCCAAATCTTCTCGGCAGCCAAACACATGCCTAATTCACAGATCGAAATTATGCCCAATGAAAAAACAATCAATGAAGTCTGTATTTTTCACTAACAACATAGAAATCGAAGAGCCGAACCTGATACTGAATAAACCTGGCGGGAGAGCTACAACAAGCTTTGCTAGCAGAGATAAGAAACACGTCTAGAGAGTCGAATGACGACGACATTGTTTGTATATGATTTAACGTTCTCTGTGTCTTCTGTCAATGTGTTAGGGCAACAATGAGACAAAACATGCCCTATATTTCAGTAGATATTAAGTTTCTCTCTCTAAATCTCGTCCTTCCTGTCAGATCGCCATGGAAGGAGAGAATGTAGAGAGAGAAAAACAAAAGAGAAGGAAGAGATAGAAGGAGGTGAGAAAAAGGACGAAACGAGGGAGACCGCGTAACTTTTATAATTCGAAGGACAGGGCAGCGCTTTGTAGATACACCTGGATAAATGAATCCTAGAGAGAGAATTCTAGAGAGAGAAGAGGAGATGGACTGACCGTTATCTGGGCAAAAAGGTTTGATGAACTGGCGATTTGGACTCGTCTGAGGTGGCACGTGCGGAGTTGTGGATCTTGAATGAATATGCCGCTTTATGATCCGAATTTCACACTGCCCTTCTTAAATTAAATTTAATATTACCTAATCCTACTTGTTTTTGTTTTGGTATTAGGTATGTATGTCGATATTATTTTAGGGAGGTAATATTTCTCCTTTACTTTTCTCCAATTATATTTTAATTTTAAATAAAATAATTATTTTAATATAAATCACATAAAACGATAACGAGAACAAATTGTAAAATTAAATTATAAATAGTAAAATTTTTAGCAAGAGCATGAGAGCAACCCCGTTAAAAAGAATTGCGTGAATTAAATTCTAACCCTAACTTTATAAATAAATAATTATTACTCCCTCTCCTCTATTAGATGTTTCTTTTGGGGAGTAGAAATTTTTAAGGGGACATGTAATTATTGCATTGTTCCCTTTAAAAATTACGAAGTTACCCTTTCAAGTTTAAATATATATATATATAATCAAGTTTGAAATTTTGTAAAAATTTTAAGGGTATTTTATGGAAAGATGAGAAATATATTATTTAAACTTGATAAGTAGACAAGTATTTTGAGATAACAAAAAAAAAAAAAAAAAAAAGATGGACAACTAAATTGGGACGGAGAGAATATTTTTTAACTGACAGTGTCCTTTCAATTTTCATCATCACTTTATCACTAATCTTTAATATTTTAGAAAAAAAAAAAAAATTTTATTTTGAATAAATTGCCTCTTTTGAGCATACCGAAAAAAAAAATAATAATAATAAGTGTTAAAAATATTGTCTATTTTGATAGAAAAAAATTCAAAAAAAAATATATTTATTGAAAAAAATTCTATCTTTTGTCAAGATAAAAAAAAATAAAAAAAAAGTACGAAAAATAGAGGATTCAAAAAATATATATCTCTATTGAATAAATTATCTCTTTTGATAAATTTAAAAGAAAAAGTTTATTTTTATGAAAAAAAAATTTATTTCTTTTGATGAGACTCATAAAAAAATTACAAAAAAATAAATAAAAAATTACCTATTTTTTTTCACCTCTTTATTGAATAAATCATTTGTTTCGGTTGTAACAGAAGAAAAAAAAAAAAAAAAAGTTACTTTTGACTGTCAAAAATAAAATTATGAGTAAGAAATAAATTATTTTATAAAATAAAGTTAAAATTGAATATAGGTAATTATGATATTATAAAATAAGAAATATGTATTAATGAATTTAAGATTTTAAAAAATAAAAATAAAAAAAAAATAAGTGTAATTGAAACCTCCCTTATTTTATTTCTTTAATGATTAGACAAGTGGACAAAAATCTCGCGCTTTAATTATGCTTTAAAATTTTATATAGTAAAGTAAGCAAACATGGATGATTGAGATTCCCACTTATGAGATTCAAATATATGTGCGTCAGCGCGTGTGTTATAGAGAGAGAGAGAGAGAGAGAGAGCTGTTTGCTAGCCAATTGGTTAGCCTAACATGGAATAATAAATGAGTCATATGAGGAGTTGAAATCGACTGATGCAGACGTGTTCTACCGTCTCACATGGTCTTGCCAGCTCTGGCTTTCGAAATCATGTGGGCTGCTGTGGGAAATCTGGGCCGTTTACTTTGCAATGGGCCCACAAATTGAGTTGGAGTAGGAACATGATCATAGCCCCACTCTCCCTCTCACTTGTGCCTACCTTGAACGTAACACACAGATTTAAAACTTTTTTTTTTTAAATGCTGACAACAGTTTTTGTTGTACTCTATTATTGGAGTTTTGAAATTTTAGTGAGTTTTTAGATAGAGTCTTTGTTGGGATTCTAGTGTTTTATTTGTTTTTGTATAGAAGAGGAAAATTGAAAAGCTCCATCCAATTTGGATACTACTAGAAGAAAAACAAAAAAAAAATTCAAATACAACTTGGTAATGCGTTATTATCAAATTTAGAGTTGGAGAAGGAAACAAAACAATCTCTGTTTAGAGGTAAAATATTTTTTCTAAAAAAAATTTTTTTTAAGTAAAATATTTATTTTATTATTATTTTATTCATAACCAAATATCAAAAAATAAAAAAATATTTTACATCCAAAGAAACTTAATGTAAGCGCACCCAACCGTCAAGAAAAAGCAATCACTGAGATGGCCTGTTCAGTACATATATCTCTAGGATGTGGTCTATGATACTAACAAACAACTCCAATGGTGTGTTATATGGGTTATTATTTTCAAAATATGACAAATGGGCTTAAAATGAACTCTGGACTGTCAATTTTTAATTCTAGGGCTTACCGGACACAATGGAATTTCAAGACTTCTTCTACGAACCCTCTCTCCACCACCGACCAAACACCGCCGCCTCCTCCACCACTCTCCGACGACTCCGAACCCTACGTCGTGTTCCGCAACCAAATCTCTCTCTACAATCCATTGTCAATCGTTGGAACCGCCACACGCGACTATTTTTCTCTGGATGTTGGTGCGGATGATACTGAATCCAAAGAGACTTTAATTTTGACTCCGGCGCCGGCATCGAGTCCGGCTTCGACTCAAAAATTGGAACGGCAACTGGAGGGTGGTTGGTTTCGTGCTGATAGTGGGCTCAGGAGCCCCATGCTTCAGCTACATAGAGGTATCGATTTTGTCTTCTAGATGATATGCTTAAGTTTCTGACTGAGAACTGGTACTTGAATGGTGAACGCTTGTTTACTTGCTGATTCGGAAATTCTCATTAGTTTTTGATATGATATACAAGTAAAATTTTTAATTTCCATGATCAAGGGAATTGAATCCCTATGTTACATTGACTATATGAAAATTTTGTTTTATTTTAGGGAATTTAATCTATCCATTTAAATTGAGAAATTCTTACTTGGAGTTAGTCTCGCAGGAAATTGTTTAGATTAGCAACCTAGTTGTGAACATCTAGAAGTGATTTCAATAATAAAACAGTGGAACTTTTTTTTGTTTTTGTTTTTGGATGGTAAAGCAAAAATTGCTAAAATATAGCATTTTGGATTAAATAAATCATTGGAGCAGAATTACTAAAATATAACATTTTGACACTGCAGCTTCTTTCAAAAAATAGATTTGGCATGCAAAAATGTGACATTTTGCATTGGAGATGGTATTAAGATAACATTTACTACTTGGTGACTGTTGAACCAGAGGATGATTGGTCCAGTTGAGAAATGGGAGGTAAAGAAGGCTGCATTTGAGAATTGAGACAGGAGCTTTGATACTCCAGATTCAGATTCAGATCCAGATGGGCTCTCAACAATATTTTATCACAAGAATGGAATATTGTGAAGCAAGATGTTTTCTAAACACTGCCTGGCATAGGTATATTCAGTGAGGGTATCTGACAAAAAGATGAACAAACCAATTTTACTAAAGGTGCAGAGCCCAGAAGAAGTAGGCTAATTCAAACCTACGCGGCCATGCAGTTCTGGTTTTAGTCTATGTTCCGTAGCGTTATGGTATCTGTGCCTTGGAATTGGAATTGAAATCGGAGAAAAATTAGTCTAAACTAGCATTAGGCTATGTTCCGCTGCATGGAATTGGAGTTTTGGAATTGGAATTAGAGAAGATCAACTCAGATAATTGAACCAAAATTTTCTCCAATTCCACCAATTCTAATTCCATGTAGCCGAACACGGACGAAAGCTATTTCAAAGGTCTTAGTGAACAGATTAAGCCCAATATTGAAGCACCTCATCACCCCAGCTCAAGGTGATTCTGTTGCCAAGAGACAGACAAACACAATTCCAAGGATACAATCCTTGTGGTACAAGAAGCTTTCAACTCCCTTATAATGCAGAATGTGGGAAGAAGTTCAATCTGGCCTTGAAATTAGATATATTATGAACAAAGGCTTATGACAATTGGATCGTTGGACTATCTTTCTAAAGGAGCTGTTGCAGTACTATGAGTTTTATGACCACTGGATTCAGCTTATCATGCTGCAATACCACATACAATTGTCAGTCCTGATTCATGGAGAAAAATTAGAGTTTTCATCCCCAGAGAGGTTTAAGAAAAGAAGTAGTAACCACAACTATGCTTTATGTTAGTACATGTTTACTTTCAATTAGCAGGTCTCTAAGAACTACAAATAGAAATTTGCATACTGAAAAGTGATGCAGAGATGACAGATGCATCTTAAAGTGATTGTGAATTAATGAAAGTTTAACAAGTTCTCAAATGCATCAAAAGTTTAATACACATCGTTATCATTATTTAAACTTCCATGTGCTGAAAAGAATGAACCAAATAGCACTACTATTAATAGCAGTAAAGCCCACATTTATCAGTAAACCTCCATGCAAATTTACCATCAAATCAGTATCAGATTCTCAAATGGTTTTCTCTGTATCTTTTCAGTGTGAACAATAATAAACATAAAATTTGCATAAAAAAGTTCATAAATTTTATGTAAAACCAATCAAAAGAGTAGTGCAGCTATTTTCAGCAAGTCAAATTAAAAATTACCCCTGCAAACATTTAGGCTTTGCATAGTTTACGAATTCTGATTAGGAGGGACAAATGTATAATTACACATTTAAGAAAAATAATTGGAAGGACCAACATGAATTAATCACAGGGATCCAAATTGTGGTGCACAGTCAGTAATCTTATCTGACATCTATTTACTTGTGAAATCAGATTTCATGCCAAATTGTGGGTTTTCGAATTTGACAATAAGGAGTAAGGCAACTTGAAATGTCAATTAATTGCGACCTACAGTGAGATGATTTGTCAGACAAAACATTTTCATTTTCTGGTCAAGTGACATGATTTGAGGAAACATAACAAGACACATGGATTACCTCTTTCAATGTTCCGAAGGATTCAAGTCATCATGGAGGTGAGAGTAGACTACCCACTTGACAGATTTTGTGTAGCCAACTCCAGATAGCAGGGAGAAAGGCTCTGTCAAGTAGTATTAAATTTAACTGTATATCAGAGATTTACCATACTTCCTGAACGGACAGTATTTTGTGGGTAAATTCCCAGTAAGCAAGCAGATGTTCCTGGCTTCAAAACTTGAACTACTGAAACATAGCATAGAAGTTTAATTAAAGATTAACAATAATGACAAATAAAGCCAGGGTACTGATCCTGTGTCGACAACAATAAAGCTTCTGTCCCAAACTACTTGGGGTCAACAGTCTTAACATTTTTTCTGTCTTGATGAAGTTTATTTGATCAATGTAAATTGTCCAACCAATGATAACTGAAAAGCTAAAATCAATGGAACCTTGTTCCTGGTCAGAAATATAGTGAAACTATCTTCTTTCTTTCATTATTTAACACAGTTTTTATAAAAGGGATTGTATAATTCTGTTTTTAACAAATTTATAAGTCACAACTTGTGAGCGATGTTCTAGCTACATAAGAAATCCTTGGGTGGGGGCAACTGGAGGTAGACAGAGAAACGAAATAGATATGGGAAACTATGTAGTCCATGTAAAAACTCAATATTCCATAAATGACAAAACTTTATGGAAAATGCCAAAAGAATTTCATCCAACTGATCACTTTGCTATAACTGAGTTGCAATTACTGCATACATCTAAACAAGAAATGAAAAGAGATCTAGAGTTGTATGCCTATATCTAGTAGCTTGAACAAAGTGTAAAACATGCAGATAAAAAATTGAACACTAATTAAAAAGGATAATGGATTATCATCAATCATGCAAAATCAAATTTACCGACGTGACAAATTCAAGAAGAAGAAAAAAAACACCTCTGAAATCTCAATCAAGTACATCAGTTTGCATATCTCCTGGGTGAGCGTTGTTTTCATAGTTCCTCCCAGTCAAGTGATGAAGAAGCACACCTGCTGCAACACTGACATTCAAGCTCTCCACAGCCAGAAAGGACCGGAACTCATCGCTTGAGCATCCGCGATCCAATTCCGCAGTTTCCACATCTCCAAATCCTGTGCTTAAATCCACTGGAATGTTTCCTGGGATTCTGATCAACTGAGTGCATGATCTCTCTACCAATGGCCTCAACCCAGTGCCTTCACTCCCCAACACGAGAACTGTGGGCACACCAGGCTCAATTTGATTCAGAGGGATAGCTCTTGAAGCAACCGAACCTCCAAGAACCCGCCAACCATTTCCAGAGGAAGATACTAAGAACTGCATCATATTCTTGCAAGACCTAAGCTCCATCAACTCTAATGATCCTGCACTTGCTTTGCTCACAACACCACTCAATGGGGCTGAATTTTTTGCACACAACACCACACCTGAAGCTCCAAAGAAGTAGGCTGACCTAATAATGGCACCCAGATTCTGAGGATCTGTAACCTCATCCAAAGCAACCCAAAGTGGACCCTTATCCCCCTCAATGGACACAGGATCCAATTCCTTTATACCCACCATCTCTAATGGAGAAGCATCTAGCACCAAACCTTGATGAGGCCGATTATCAGCGATCATATTGAGGTCATGCTTCGATACCTCTTTCTTGCTTAATCCAATTTTTTCAGCCATCCTCAAAACTCTCTCAAACCCTTTCTTGTCTTTCCTCTTCCTATTATTACCACTTAAATCCAACCCTTCCTGAACATACAAAGCATAAAGCTCTCGTCTTCCAGCCGATAGTGCAGCCAAAACAGGACCAACTCCATAAATCCCTTCACCAGTCATCTTTGGTATCATCGATTCGGTAGCCTCTTTCCATGTCTTTCTACCCCAGTTTTCTTGCTTATCCCACTTTCGGAACTCTGGTCTATCGGAACCACGTTTCACATAAGCAATTTTATTAACCCTATTCTTTATATTATCCCATCTTGGATCATCAACCTCAACCTCCCCCTCTTCTTCTTCTTCGAGGGGTTCATATTTTTCCACATAATCCTTTTGCAGATTTTCCGTCATTCTACTTTCACTACTTCCCATAGTTGAAGCACCACTTTTTAGGAACTTTTCTGCCGATTTCTCCCAAGAAGATCGACTAGTCTTGGCTGTGTTTATTTTCTCCGACCTTTTTGCTTCCTTAGCCTTGTTTGTTGCTAACCAAGGAAGGGTTTTTTCAGCTCTAATTACACTGCTAGTACCTTCAACAACTTTCTGAGAATACGAACTCGAGAAACTCCTAGCTCTCATCATTGGGTAATTTTGTAGAGCACTTTTAAGGCGAAACGCACTACAGAAAGATCTGGGTTTTGCCACGTTGCCACACTTTTGTAGGGTTGTACCTTGATTTCCAATTGATAAACTTCCAAGGGTTTTGTAACCAAACCCATATGAGAAACTGCTCGAGTTCATAGTCATCGTATTGGAGTTTTTAAAAAGTACTGGGTTAGACCCGACTAGCAAAGATTGGGGTTTTGAAATATGAAATGGTTTGAAGCATCTGGGTGGTTGTGAAGAAACCCTACAAGCCAAAGGAAATGCCTGGTTCTTTGATATATTACAGTACATGGTAATAAAAAGAAAACAGAAAGAATAGATTCGTTTCGAAGAGATAATTTGAAAGCTCACAGCAAGTTAACTTCAGAGAAGATGAATAAAACCTGTACGGTGCTTCTGATTGAACTTTAAACCACGATTTGCTTGGTTCTCCACCGTCTCGTCTATCTGAGGACTGAAGGCTGAAGCTTCAGAAAATTGAAAAATTTTGACTTCTCATTTCTCGACGGAGCATTGCGTATTTGCAGGCAAGGGATCCTAATCTGCAATGGCAATTGCTTAAGGCAATAATACGACGTCGCTGGCTGGTCTCTCTCTATATATATATATATATATTTACCCTTTTCCAGCTGAAATATTTTTCATACTCTTATCTAATTTAGTAATAGTTTAACAAATAAAATAAAAAAAAATTTGTCAAACTAAAAAAACTCTATTAGCCTTCTTTTTATCTATTGTAAACCTAGTCACTTTACATAAAGTGGGAGCGAGAGCGAATTCAAGAGTGGGAGTGTGAGAGCGGTTGAATTAAGTCTTGAGTAGTGAGAATTTGAGTGCGGTTGAATTAAGTCACGAGTAGTGAGAATTTGAGCGAGAGCGCGCACGGAACGTAAGAGTAGGAGCACGCTCAGAACGTGAGAGCGACACCTGTTAAGAAGGATTGTGTGATTTAATTGTAAACACTATATTAACCTACTTTTTTTTTTCTTTTTTTATGAAAAAAAAGAGAAAAACCTAATCAACCTAAATATATATATATATATATTATTTTTGTAAAATTTAATAACAAAATTGGTATGAATATTAATATTTTGCCTTTTAATAGTAGATATTTTAGTTATTTAATGTCAAAATATAAAGTTATTGATGTTTTTTTAACATAAGAAATGAGCAATTTAATTATTTTTTAAAATTTTATTAATACGTCAAATACGAGGATAGATCAAAATAATTGTAATGACCCGATCATTTTCCTTCCTTTCCATTTTCGGCAAATTTCTTTTTTCGTCTTTTTTCCTATTTCGTCCTTTAATCGTTTTTCATTTTTCCTTACATAACCTCACTTTTTGTGATCGAATTTGATTCCAACTTTGCATACATCCATGATATTTGAATACTATGATATCTACATTTGCACTTTTGTAGAAAAACATATTAAATGTTGACTTTCCTTGTAAAGGGCGTAGATGAATAACTTTTGGTAATTCCTTAAACTTGAGGGGTTTTTGTGTAATTAAGTAAAGTAATTATTTTTCTTCTCAGGGACCATTTTGTAATTTAATTTGAAAGATATTTTCAAAAAGGACCTTTTTGCATTTTTCGAAAATGTGACAAGTGTCACATTCCTAAGGTGCCACTTGTTGGCTTGGTTGTGAAACCACTTGGAGCCATTATCCCTTGACACATGGAGGGTAGAGATCCACCCATTTGTTGGCCTAGGATTGGAGCACATGTTGGTATAGATTCATGACAAGTGTAGGCTAGGGATTTAGTGTAGGGAGACACCTTGGATTCATGACAAGTGTAAGCACAAGATTAAGTCTTACAAGTGTGTGTGTGTGAGGCAGTCCAAGAGCACCTAGTGAGTGGAGAAGCCCACCACCTTATTTAACTTAAGGTTTGTATTTCTTCTTGCATATTTCATCTTTCCCTCTCAAACCCTAACTTGACCACCATTAGAGCAAAGCTTAAGTCATGGTTTAAAGCTTTATTTCGGTGCCCTTCCATTTGCCTTAGATCATTGAACTTGGAATACAAAAGCCTTGCCTCATCATCATCTTCATAACCCTAGAAGGAGAACCTGAATTTCCTTTGCTTTCATTGAATTCAAGAGGGTCAATCCTCTTGTGAGGTAAGGGGTGTTCTAATATTTATTTTTCAAGTAAATCATTGTCTTTTTAGTGATGTATTAATTGTATGCATGTCTAGTACTAACTTGAGAAATTGAGGGTTTAATTGTAGCTTGCATATAAATCACTTTAAACCTTGTATATGGCATGATCATGACTTGAACCATGATATATATCAAGTTGGTATGATTTGAATAATCTTTTAAATCTAGAGAATTAATTAGTATGAATTGATTTAAATACTACTTAATTGTATCATACTTGAATTCCATCTTAGACTTGAAATATGGCATGATCATGACTTATTCATTGCTATATATTTTATTGGAATCATTTAGACAATTCTTGAAATTTAGAGAAATTACTTAGTTGGTCTATTTAATTTCTATCATGTTGATCTTATGATTAAATCATGAAATTCATGGAAATTATTGTGTGTTAATACATATTATGACTTGTTACTCTATATGTTGATTTTGGGAACTTGGGATATCATCAAGAACTTGACATGGCTAGAGCTTGGTTCTAGTACGGAGGATTGTCCTCCTAAACTATAGTGCGCACTAGGGAAAAGGTACCCATGGATTAATAGCCCTAAAGTGATCTCAAGAGTACGGTTTTAGTCCGGGCGATGTCCAAGTATCCACCTTAATTTGATTTCACTCTTTAATCCTTAGACTTGATAATCTTGTGATATTGCATTTTAATGTACCATTTTAAAGTCTCAATATCATTTTAATAACATAGACCAAATACTATTAAATTGCAAACTTTGTAATACATTAATCATGTGTATACTTATTCCCTACGAATAAACTTGTTAGACTTGTTTATTCACCCCGAAGTTACTAGGTGTTTTTGTGATGCCCCTCGGATCCGAGACACGGGTTGATCAGGCCCAGACCCAAACCCGAGGGAAATATCAAACAATTAATATGTAATTGAACACAGAATACAAGATGAAATAAGAAATAAAAATAATAAACTAAAAGAATGCTAATTGAAAATTCTTAAAATATAATTACTTCAATACAATTTATGCAAATATAAACAATTTCAAATAATGCAAATATAAGCAAACCGCCAGTTAAATAAATAAAACAAATAACAACAATTAAATAAATAATCAAATAAACAAAAATAAATGCAATGTAAACAGTATAATAAATACCAGGACTATCATTTTGAAATTAGGGGTATTACAGTTTTGCAAGTAAAGAAGTTTTGTTGTGTGACACACAACACTCTTAGACATGCTAGAAGTCTTGAAGTATTTTTGATAACATTGAATATGTACATGTTAGCATATCATGTTTACTTTTGTTTATTTTGACAAAACTTGTACTTATTATCTAAGCCATGTAATGTGCACTTAAGTACACCTTTTTACACTCTTTTGATATGTATGTAATGAGGCCAATGGCTAAAGATACTTTTATGCCATATATATTATTTCGTCTTAATAGTTTGTATGTGGAATTTAAGGGATTTCATCTATTGAAGGGTCATATTTTGCATATGACATGCCATGAGGCCGTAGGCCATCCTAGCGCGTCTAAATCATCATTTTACACATGCGTGCATGTTCTTATCTTACAAAATACATTAATTCCAACTTTTGAACTATTTTTGGAGGATTTTATGAATTTTCATGAAAAATTCATGCATTGGGCTTCATTCAAAGTTCTCTTTTGATTTGGCATGTAAAGGTTGTTCATTTAAGGTCCAATGATGTTTTGATGCTTGTTTGAATCAATTAGAAAGCATGCATAACCTTAGAACTGATCCTAGCATCTTTCCCTTGGATTACAGTGAGTTATAGCAGACATTTTTGCAGCAGCAGGGTCCATTGGTCGGCTGATGGCAATCATCAGTCGACTGATGAATGTTTCGCAGCATTCCAGTAGCCATTTTTGAGAAAAATGGAGTTTCAGCCGACTGATGATTGGGTTCATCCGGCTGATGATGGAGTTTTGGTCGACTGGTACTGTAGCACCAGCCGGCCGATCCTCCCCGAAGCATGGTTCACTCTCAGCATCTCGGACAGAAATTTTAGGTCAACTTTAGAGGGGCCATAACTCCTTCATTTTTTTTTTATCCAAATTAGGTCATTCTTGAGCCTAAACTCAAGATCTTGAAGTCAGCTTTCCAATGACACCAAGAACACTCAAAAACTCCAATCGTACTGAAAGTTATGACTATTTTAGTGAGATAGGGTCGTGAAATCTCCAAATCGGAGAATGCTTCTTATTCTAAAATTTATATCTTTTCCGTCCGGACTCCGAATTAGGTGATTCTTGAGTCTAAATTCATTAATTTTTTGTTGTGTTTTCAATGGTGTACCTGGTAGCATTCAATTATGGGTGAAATGACCATTATACCCTTGATCCATTTCTTATAGGATTTTAAAGTCTTTGTTCTCTTCTTGCTTCCATTGAGTCTTGGGACTTCTTAGGAAGCTATCCTTGTGTCTTAGGGATGATGTACATCTCTAGAGGTAATATTTCACTTTAGCTTCCGCATTCTTGATTCATTATTTGATTTTCATTCGGTTTAACAAAGGACGCACTGGCCTAAAAACCAGGGTCGTCATAATAATAAAGACCAAATGTTTTATTGTGCCACACAAATAACATAACATCAAATTTAACATACTTTAGCATTCAAATTATAATCTCAATTATTACTTTTTTTCCGCAAGAAAAACAAAAAAAAAGAGTATGGAAAAGAAAATGAAGGCCAAAGAGGTCTATTTTGTAACTTTGTTGAGCCTAATATGCAAATATATATATATATATATATATATATATATATATATATTTGCATATTAGAGAGAATTTTTTTTTGGGAACAGTTTCACCACTTTCTTCCTTAACAAAGTTACAATATATATATATATTGTGTTTAAAAAACCAATTTTCCATCTCCAGATCAAAACCCTCAAACCTTAAACCCCTCTCTCCCCCAAGCATCTATCGGAACTCCGGAGACATCTCGAGAACCATGCCCTGACCGGATCCTCGACGACGTCGGCGACGCTTTTGACATGGGCGCCGTGGGAGGCGCGGCCTTCCACTTCATCAAGGGCGTCTACAACTCCCCCAAGGGTGAGAGGTTCTTCGGCGGCTCCCAAGGTGTGAGCATGAATGCCCCACGGGTTGGCGGCAGCTTCGCCGTGTGGGGCGGCCTCTTCTCCACCTTCGACTGCACTATGGTGTACATCCGCCAGAAGGAAGACCCCTGGAACTCCATCATCACTGGCGCTACCACCGGCTGCTTCCTCCAGATGCGGCAGGGGCTCCGCGCCGCTTCCCACTCCGCCCTCGATCTTCGGCGGCATCCTCCTTGCCCTCATTGAAGGCGCCGGCATAATAATCAACAAGTTCATCAGCGCCCAGTAAAACATGCCCATCATGATCGAGGAACCCGCCTCAAACGTTCCCGGTGTACCTGGCTTTCAGCTGCCAAATCGGATCCCCCAAACTGAGTCATCACCATCTTCTTCTCCTTCTTCTTCTTCCTCGTCTTGGTTCGGAGGGTGGTTTGGTGGCAAGAAGGAAGAGTCGAGCGATGGCGTAAAAACGGAGGCTTTGGAGAGCTTTAATTCGCCAATGCCTCCAACTTTTGAATTCAAGTGAATTTTGGTGGGTTTGAGGTTTTCCCAACTTTAATTTTGTTTTACTTTATCCTTGCTACGAAAGCTATGTTTTTTTCACTTAGGTTTCTAAATTTTAATACTCCATCGGTCCAAAAAAAATGTTCTATTTAGAGAATCGTGACTCATAACAAGATATCTAATTTTGGATGAGAGCGTACTCCTTAGACAGGATACTTAATGGGGACGAAAGTAGTGCTTTATAAGGCCATTGGCAGCAGGGCGCGGGAGCCCAATTTTCGCGAGCAGATGGACTATCGCTGTTTTATTTTTTTATTTTTTCTTAATGCAAAACGGCGCCGTTTTGCATTACCCTTTTTTTTTTTTCCTCCAACAATTGCGCAAAGTAACTGAACAATGCCTTGAGGCACTGTTTGGCAGAAATTTTAAAAAAAAAAAAAAAAACCTAAAAATAGGTTATTTAGAGCTTTTTTTTTGGAAAAAAAAAAAAAAAATCATTAAATAAAAAAATATATTGTTTAGGCATTGTTTGTCCAAAAAAAAAAATTTATTTGGTCCAAAAATAAATTAAAAAACCTTTTTTTGTGTTTTTTTTCCTTAAAATTTGTTTTTTTTTTTTAAAAAAAAAAAAAAATTTGCTTTAAATTTTAAATATGTACCTCTAATAGTGTATTTGCTTGTTAAAGCACTGTTTGACTGACACAAACAGTACCTTAATGGCTATAAATTTTTTTAACTTTATTAAAAAAAAAAAAATTTTAAATTTAAAATTTCTATAAATACCTCAACTTCTACCATCACTCATCACATCTAACACATTTTCATTATCTACCATTCAACTTACTTCTTCTTCTATTTTCTCAATCTTAGCTATTATTTTCAAAGTTATTTCGATTCCATGGATCCTCGACATCCATTTTATTACAACACTCAATTCAACCCATCAAACGTTGAGTTTTTGCCATATCCCGAAGACAATATCAATTATTATAGAGGAGATTCTTAATTTCCTTATCATCAACCATCCCAACCTTCATATCAACCATCCCAACCTTCTTATGAACCATCTCAAATTTCTCATCAATATTGTGGTACTAGTGTTTCACAATCAAGTAACTCAGAACCCCCGTCAAAACAACCGGCTATTTGACATAATAATTGGACCAAGGTTGAAGATGAGGCTTTATGTTGGGCGTGGATGTCCGTTGCCTCTGATGCAATAACGGGGGCAGACCAAAGTAAGAAGAAGTTAGGGGAGCGAATTCTGGAACAATATAAATAACATATTGGTGTTCTAACTGAGCAAAATGATGGAGGTTTGATGAATCGTTGGTCAGTGATCCAACAAAAAATTAGCAAATTTTTCGGGTGCATGACTACCATGGAAATGAATTGTCCCAACGGCTTCAACAGTGATGATATGGTTAGTTTTTTATTATTTAAATATAACTCGTATTTAAATAGTCGGCTTCTAATTTTTTGTTAATTTTTTCGTGTAGATGATAACAGCTAAAGACTTATTTTGTAACCAAACAGGTGGTGAATTTAAGTTAGAGAGTTGCTGCGAGATCTTGAGGCATAACAATAAATGGCATTCACATTGTACCGAACAAGTAGGAAAAAAAAAAAAGCCGAAGAAGAGGATTGGATTTGACTTTAACATTAATGAGTCTGTTGGGCACTCATTGCCATCTACTCCATCAAGTCATGCAGCCACAACAGATGGAGTTTCAACTGAAGAATCACCACACATAGGGGAAAATGATTCACCAGGTGTGAAAAAATATCAGCAACTACAAAGACTAGCAGGAAGAAAAGAGGCGAAGCAGCATCAAGCAAAAATTAATTCAGCGAATGAATTGCAAACTTCATTCGTTTCGAAATTTAATAATATCACCAGTCGTTTTGAGAGTCGTCAGGAAAAAATGCAGGATGCCCAAGTGGCACGAGAGGTAAGAAAAATGGAGAAAGAGAAGACGAGGCAGCTAAAGATTATAGAGAAATAGAGACTTGAAGAAAATGAGCTCATGTTAACAGATCCAAATTCAGCACCAACAGAAGTTGGGAAAACTTGGATTATTGCACTACAAAATGAGATATTGGGATCTTTGAATTCACGATCCGCCCCAAAGTTTCCATAGGATTTTGTAATCCTTGGTCTATATATTTTCTTATTCCAATATAGGATATTGTATTGTTTAAGTTATTTTTAATTGTTTTATTTAATTTGTTTTTTTTTAATCCATAATGGATAATGTATTATTTCAAGTTATAATATCAGTCGTAATTTTTTTAATAATTTGCAAAAATATTGTTTGATTGAAAAATATTGTCGTTGAGAAAATATAGCCGTTGCAAATATAGCTGTTATGAATATAGCCGTTTAGGAAAAGTTTTAAAAAATAATAATAATAAATAAATAATAATTTATTATTATTATTATTATTATTTTTGGAGAGCCAAAATTCGGAGAGCTTGATGGAGTGCATGTTTTTGGAGAGCGAAAGTTGCTGATGTGACTTTTGAAATTGTTGATGTGACTTTTGGAAAAACTAATGTAGCGTTTTTAAAGAGACAAAATCCGAAGAGACCTATGCAAATGACCCAAGTGATTGAATGAATTGAAATGTTCTTGTCATTGTTGTTATCATTATTATTTTTTATTTATATATGACATGGATATAGTATTTATGATGGTACTAGTGTAAGGAAATTTGTGGTCGAAAAGCTTATCCATTTAACAAAAAAAAAAAAAAAAATTGTGGTCGAAAGTAGCGAACTGAGAACCTTTTGGGATTGAAATCAGTTCTTCAGTTCGTGCAGTTATTCTTTCATGCATCAATCTCATTTACAGCTTCCATAGGTTCACATAATTCATCTGTTATGCTCACATCTGTAAAACCTGAACTCCACCAAACAAATATATTTCATTACATTTTCACTTTAATTAAATTAATTATATATAATATAACATTCATTAATTATAAGTGGAAAGTTGAGTGGTTTAGAACTAAACTTATTTTTAAGATTTAATGATATTTTTTCAAAAAATAAAAATAAAAATAAAAAATCATAGTAATATTAATTAAACGGGGGGCTCCAATCCTGTTTATTTTTCTTTATCAGACCAAGAAACGTCTATAATTTGCACAGAGAGATAGAGACAGTAATGAAAGTTGTGGAAAGCTACCGGTAGCTGCCATTCGGAGCTGTTGATGTAGATAAATTGTGCATCAGGTAGAAGGTTGTTGAATGAATCAAGCAGAGAAACGAGCTTGGCATTAAAAATCTGACATGCACTGTCCATCATTTTTCATGCCTTTTAAGCTGATGTTCATATTTGAATAAAATTCTGTTGGCCACGAGTTGTACTGTTGTTGTGAATCCTGAACTCATTTCTCGAGTGAAAAGGGCAGGTTGTATTGTAATATATTTTTTGGTTTGATGAGGTTATTCTATGTGTACAGCAGAGTTTCAGGATTGATAATGTTATGATATTGTGGTAAGTTGGGAATATTAAAGGTTGTTCCAAGCATTTTGTGCTTTAGTTTGCGCTTTATTGGTTGAAACTTTGCATGCTATCATCTGCATCCATTGGAATCTTGTAAGTGATTATCTTTGTATAATTAGATTTATATATTGCATTTGATGAAAAAAAGAACCAAATGTAGACATTGATTTTGTGGGATTAATATTGAGACTAATTTGAAATATAATATGGATTTCTAGAAAATCTCTGAATAATTGTTTGACATTTTATGCGATAATGTTGCATGGTTACACGGAATCTCACTTGCGTAACAGTCATTATTAGTACCATTTTATGGGAGTTCTAACAGTTTCCATGATCTGTATAGCCTCTAGAATATTTAGTTTATTGATATTGCATTCAAATGAGGTTGTTATTTAATGTGAATCTTAGAGGTGTTGAAAAATTTAAGACGAATGAGCAATTTATCTAGTTTTGTCAGTATTTTACCTATGAGGTTGAAATTCCTTCTCAGTTGAGCAATTTATGGTCATCCGAGAATTTGTATTCGTCTTGGGAGTTGGTGGAACGATAGTGCAGTGATTTTCATATTTGTAAACATGGGATGGTGCATTGGCTCCTTTTAACAATTGCTTACTTGTTCAGACTGCGCTTCATCCTTTCCAAAATGTGAGTTTCAGACAGCTGAAATGTTTAGCTGTGGATGATTCAAACTTTTTATAATCTGATCGAAATTTGGTTCTCAAAGTTGCAATTTCATGTTTTTGGAGCAGGTTACATGAATTTAGGAATTCACTTGGCACAGCAAGTGTTTTAAACTAAAAAGATCCAGAAAGTTGACCTAGATAGGTGCAATCCAAGATTTAACTAAAGAGTTACCTCTCTGAAATGCTGATTTCTTATGTGGGATTGGATAAATACAACATGTTACAACAAAGCTACAGTGAGGTACATTCAATGATTACTGTATTATTATTATTATAAGAGTATACCATGAAACAAATATGTAGGTCATCATGGTTACTTCTTTCCTTTTTCATGCGTTAATGCAAATGAAAAAGTAACTAAATTTTTATAACTTAAGTCACACAATGCGTCAACCCAAGTGTAAAAGTAACAAAATTTAAATCAACCTTTGACGTGACTTAGAGCAGATGCACTGAGGAGCGTAGATAATATGTCCTTTTTTTGGCGTAAAGATCAAAACTGATTGTCATAGTCTCACAGACTCGAGTTACCCATATGCTAAACCCACAAAGGACCTTAGTAGCGTATGAAAATTACGAGTTTGTCGGATATATAGAAAACAATGAGCTTGGCGCTCCTGTTCCGCTCACTCCCCCAACACTCCTACCACCGCACCCTCCTTGCCATTTCAACAACAGCCCATCTCCGCCACCACATGGCCACCGCAACCACAACCACAACCACCACCGAGCCAATCACTCCGGCCAACACTCGACTGGGCTGGATAGGGACCGGCGTGATGGGCCGGTCCATGTGCGCCCACCTCATCAAAGCCGGCTACACCCTCACTATCTTCACCCGCACCCAATCCAAAGCCCAAACCCTCCTCGACATAGGGGCCAACTGGGCCCCCACCCCTCTCGCCGTCGCCTCCCAATCCGATGTGGTCTTCTCCATCGTTGGCTACCCCTCCGACGTCCGCCAAGTCCACCTCAACCCATCCTCCGGCGCCCTCGCCGGCCTCCGTCCTGGCGGCGTCCTCGTCGACATGACCACCTCCGACCCGTCCCTTGCCCTCGAACTCTCGTCCTCCGCCGCTTCCAAATCCTGCTTCGCCATCGACGCCCCCGTCTCCGGCGGAGATCGCGGCGCCAAGAACGCAACTCTTTCGATCTTTGCCGGCGGCGATGAACCCACAATTCGCCGCCTCACCCCAATCTTTACCCTCCTTGGTAGGGTTAATTACATGGGTGGACCTGGAAAGGGCCAATTCGCGAAGCTCGCGAACCAGATTACAATTGCTTCAACGATGTTGGGGTTAGTGGAAGGTTTAATATATGCACACAAAGCTGGTCTGGATTTATCACTATATTTGGATGCGATTTCGACTGGGGCTGCTGGGTCGAAATCTCTTGATTTGTATGGGAATAGGATATTGAAGAGGGACTTTGAGGCTGGTTTTTTTGTGAATCACTTTGTGAAAGATTTAGGTATTTGTTTGAGGGAGTGTCAGAATATGGGACTTGCTTTGCCTGGATTGGCACTTGCTCAGCAGCTCTATGTTTCGCTTCAGGCTCATGGTGAGGGTGATTTGGGCACTCAAGCTCTTATCTTGGCTCTCGAGAGACTCAACAATGTCTCGCTTGAGTCGAAGCAGCATTAGACCGGTAATTTCGAACTTTATGGGGAAAATAGAATTATATGTATTGTTCTCAAAGCAGTATTGAAAACGTTTCATCATTTTTAATGGTAATCATGAACATAGTGGTTTTAAATTTTTTAGTTTTGTTGTTGTGGTTTTTAAATGGTTTAATTTGTTGTTGTTTTGAGACTTGGAATATTTGCCACTGTCTTGTTACCACTCTATCTTGAGAGTTCTATGGAGATCATGAATTATGGTTGCATTGTTTGAGGTATTGCATGTTTGGCTTCTTGCTCCCTCTATTTTGCACACTTCCATTCTAGATAAAAAAATAGTAATTCTTTAGTGTGCATGATGTAGTAGCTTGTGAAGTTTCGGATTTAATATCTCTCTACAGAGTTGTAGGGCAAGTGAATATGATTATCTAAATTTTTCCTTCTCTATTTGAAATTGTATAATACGCAAAATATGATTTTGGCTTTTTTATAGTTTTGGACAGAGGTTGACCCATTTCGGATACTTGTTAAATGTTAACATGTGACTGACATACCTTACATTTTGAAAAAAAAAATGTGACTCATTGGGATAGAATTTTCTTCTAACATTAAGAAAATATGATGTTAAAGAAAATCAAGTTAATGATCTATATGTAAGTTATTAAAGAGATTGATCAAAATTTAAAAAGGGTTAAAAAGTGTAATATAGAAATGCTTACATATTTACATATGTACATAAAAGCCGGACGTATATGATGTGTTCTTGTGCCTTTGTCCACTCCACCTGGCTAATTACTGATTTTTGTGATTTGAACGTTAGATTTCAAACAAGCATAGACTATTAGATGAGCTTATTGAATAAATTAGTGCTTGTTGTGTATACTAAATGCTATAATTCTATTTTGTTTGCTTGCCATTTCAAAGAACTAGGAAACGAAAAACAGTATGAAAAATTATTTGAGTTTGACAGTTTTCTGGAACCGAGTTAAAAAAAAAAAGTTTCTATTTTTAGGAGAGAGTATACAATACCCGGGTGTACTTACCATGTGGTACCCCACCCAATGAAAACTCTTCATTTTTCTGGAAAACTCCCCATTTCTTTATTATCAAGGTAAATGGAGTGTTTCCATGACTATCCATGCCACATGTAAGTATATGTCCAGGGTATTGTATACTATCTTTGTTTTCATATAACAGAAATTGTTTAGGTCTATTTGCAGATAACAGAAGACTTTTTTCAGTTTTAAGAGTTCAGAATTGTTTTAAAGAATTGAACCAAACATGCCTCATTTCTATTTTCTGTGTTGATGTCCATGCTTCATAGGATAGGACTGTTATTGGCGTCCACAAATGTGCTACTGTAGGTATTTTGCTGAACTTTTGGCACACTATAAGAATATATTAGTTTTTGAAGGTGGCTTGACAACTAAAACAGTCAAAGTGAAAAACAGTATTACTTTTTGCTTGGATAAAAGAACTCTCTAGGGGATCTTGATATTCTGTTCCTAAAGTGGACATGGCAAGAATTCTGCTAGGCTGGCTAGTTTCCAGTCTCCAGAAGTTTAAAACCTTTGGGTCCACCAAATCCATGGCTAAGTGGCCTGCCTCACTAGCTAGTAAGCTTCTTGGCGCTCTGAGCTCATTCTTATCTATCAAAGAATATGGTAGTTTGACAAATTGATGCCAAATTGGGAGATGCACTATAATCCATGAGATCCTTTTTCGAAGTTTAAGCAGAATGATAAATCACTTTTAAGTAGCAGAAACTAATCTGAGATATTCTATAAGCATGTTCTTAAACCTTTGTAAAGGGAACACAATACTTATTAGAATGTTTTTTATCTTGATACATTTTGACATGGATATGCTTATTGATACAGGAAAAAGGGGGACATGTATAGCTGTTAGAAGGTAAGAGGGAGAACAAGGAGAAGCTAGGCTCTTCGATTATTTTCTGAAGGACTTGGGTTTACCTCTTTCTTTTTGGGCAAATTTCGTAACAACAGTTTCCTGGATTGACATTGGGTTCAGAAGATTTATCTCACACTCAAGGTTCATGTTGGGGAAGTATTATATCCAGTCGCGAAGCAACATATTTGAATCTGACCCTTCCTCACCTCTGCTGTCTTGAACCATTAATAATTTGTCTTTTGAATTTTCTGTATGCCAGTTGAGCAATGATAAATATATAGATATTTGAACAGATTTCTGCTATAATAGTTCATGAAAATGGAACAAAAAGCAGTTATTCCCGAAGTTTGCGTATCCACTGTTTGCTAGTGCTTTTCATTGTTATTTAGTTTAGTATAAAGAAAACAGAACTTCTTTAGGGTTCCATTTTAAATGCATTGCACATGAGAAAATTGGTTGTGGGCATGGCATGTTTGGCTTTGTGTATATATGATTGAAACTGATTGTCTGAGAAGATCAAATTATGCCAAGGTGTTTTAATGAACTAGTTGTTACAGTTGGTCAAAAACCATGATCTTGCTGGAACGTGGGACTCTTGCAACATTGTATATGGAAGTTGAACACCCACTATTCCATGGGGGGAATTGTAACTTTCCATGAATTTCCCATTTGTCACTCAACGACGGAACTTTGCTACTTTGCTTATTTCTTTTTTTGAGGATCGACGAATCTAATGATATTTCTGTTCGAATTTTTGCCTCTTATCCTCCCTCTGAATCAAACTTTTCCTTGCCATAATGGTTCAGTTCCTATTAGTATCTATGGTACAAGTCTGATCCAAGATGTAGAAATATAAGAAGGTGGGGATTAAGGGTCCCTGAGTAATTTGCTTAAAAGTGGGAATGACGCATCAATATAAATACTGTAGCTATTTTGTTGCAGCAACTGCTTATTATACATGCAATCTGTGAAGATCACTATGAAATTATTAGAAATTCTGTTAGCTACCAGATGATTAATACAACCTTATGAATTCGGACCAAGCACTGATGGAGGAACAAGATGATAGAATCAGTTAGCATTATAAAACATGTAATCTAATTTACCTCTTAGATTTTTCACCCCAAGTAAATCGTAGTATTTATTTTCCATTTTCATTATAGATTATGGGCAAACCTTCTCCAAACTTCTTGTCTCGTCTTCGCTCTTTGGGCTTTTCCAACTTAGCGAACTGAAACTGTTCGTGTTGCAAACCTATTTCCTTTGCCGCAGCAGCATCTTCTTGGCCATTGACCAACCATGACTTTGGCTTAACTAAAAACGGCAATGTTATTCAGACAACTTTGTCAATAACAATCTCAGGTATTATTTTCTTCTCTCACCACCAATCATTGAACTCTTACCCAAGGGTTGACCACAAAAGCCAACTCCTCAGCCAAAGTGCCAATGAGAGGACCAACTTCTCAGGCATTACTATCCACACTCCACACAAAAATCTGTTCCTTGCTCCAACATCTGCTTATTTTTCCTGGGGAGTGGAAGGAAGAAAGAAGCCCCAACCAGGCAAAAGCACAAGCATACGAAAGAAGAAATATTCTTAAGAGCATAACAAGAATATCATTTTTCAGAAGAAATATATATATATATATATATATGATGGTAATGCTTTTACCATCAGTTTGCCCTCTCAACCATCAGAATGCTCTTACTGCATGAATTAAATGCTTATAAATTTTTGTATCGTTTATGTACTTCCGCCAAAGTAGCAACTCAAAGAACATCTTAAATCCCCCCCATTTTATTCCATGTCATGAGAAAATGGGCATACACAAGTATTGACACATTTCAGAATGCCAGAAATGGAGTAAAACAGCATACCACAGCATGAAAGGCTTGTATGCAATCCCAAGCACCCTAATTGCAGATCCCCGCAGGACCATAAATTAAGGATTTTCTGGCATGACCTCTTCCATGGGGAGGTGAGAAAAGCTCTAACTGATTCGAAGGAAGTTATTGAGGAAAGGGGGAAAACAAAAATATACAGAAGTTAAACAGTGTTGATCTTTAATCAGAGCACTGGCCCACATATTCAAGCCTCCTCGACCTCAAGGTACTGGGAATGTGAGGCTGCCAGAAGGGAAGCTCCAATGCCTGAACCATCATTGGAATGCTCAATGACAATGCTATCAGAAGCCTCCCCCAGCAACTCCTTCAGAGTGCTCTCCATACAAGTGCTAAATTTGGTGTAGTGCTCAAACAGTCCGCCATCCAATGCTATCACTGACTTCTTATTCTCCCCCTCCCTCACTGTGTCTCTTCCTAATTTCTTTAGGATGCCGAGAATTCCAGCAGCAGACAAGCGGGCTCCACGAGTGGCAACAATGTCACAAAGCGCAACAATTGCTTTTCTTGTTTTCAGGTTAGTATTAGATATCTGAAACAGAAAAAGAAAAAAATTGAACAAATGAGGAACCCCTAAATTGTTACTATTAGAGCAAAGCAATGTTCAAATCAAATTACTTTTCTTGTTAATGAAGCTTCTGAATGTGTGCCAAGTATTATACCTCTAGGATATCCTTTAGCTTGTTTCCCACCACTCTGAGATCAGAAGAAGTGTCGTGATGCATTGCAGACATGTCAGGAGTCCTGCACATGTTGAATAAGTATGTAAACACATAACATCTACTTTAAAAAAACTACTAAATAATGAGGATGGTGAAAGTTAGCATGGTTCACAAACAAATGTCATGCACGCAAGGCATTCAAAGGAAGATAACACATGGGTACCCTCAGAAGCATTGGATGAAATAACACGACAGTGTTTCAGTTTGCATCACTGAGCAACTTAATCTCCATGTTTGGTTAATTGGATACATTTTAATGCAATTATCTGATATATGCCTGATTAGCTCTTAGAGAACACTCATAGGATGAACATATGGACCAGGCATATCTACAAGCCATCTTAAGGCAGTGCGCACTAGCCCATCTGCCATTTGTTCAAATATATTGGTAAGAGGTACCAAAACAAACGTGAATAATTGTTCAGACTCTTAACACCAAAATTGACATTCCAATTAGAGCAATGCATCATAGAGAAATGGTAGAAGGAATTACCAACAAAAGATAACTTTCAACTAGGAAAAATGGAAACCTTTAGTGGTCTTTGTTCACGGTGGAGTTGTTTATTGCTACGATCAGCATAGTAAGCAGAGAAGAATACCTCTTGCATTAAACCTGTCTAAGAACACTGAAACTCACCAAAATCCTGCACTTCCCTAGAAATTAATCCTATGCATGACTTGTGCAGCCAAAATAACTAGATTGACCAAGAAGTGCTTCAAGAAAGAAGCCGTGTCTATACACTTCCCTAGAAATTTATCCTATACATGACTTATGCAGCCAAAACAACTAGATTAACCGAGAAGTGCTTCAAGAAAGAAGCCATGTCTATACACTTCCCTAGAAATTTATCCTATACATGACTTATGCAGCCAAAACAACTAGATTGACCGAGAAGTGCTTCAAGAGAGAAGCCGTGTCTATATCAGACGTGTCAGACACCGTATATTTTTTCGGACATTCTCAGCACGAGCCCAATACAACTAAATGCGGTCATAATTTAGAAATGATATTCTTAATTGCTGACATGTGATTGGCAGTTCTTGCACTGCCAACATGTCAACAGAGACTTTAAGATATGAATTTTTTTGTCACTGCGTGAAGTATAATTATTACTGAAACAAAAAAATTATCACAAAGTTTGCCCATATATGAAGAACAAGTAGTGCACAGTAAGGTTTTACGAAATGAGTAGCATGAGAAGAGAAGGGGAGTCATCAAAATAATGAGTAACCATATGCATACACATGTCTATGCACGCGCGCACACATATGTTGAAGTTTTTGTCTTCGTATATTTGACATGTTACATTCATTACTATCATGCATAAGCTTCAAATTTGATATGCATAAAAAAATGATTAGATCTTTTTGTCATCCGGCAATGTTTGTCATTACTGCTTAGTGCTATACAGAAAAATATTGGTTTTTTACTGCAGTGTCCTCTCTATATTCATGTTCCACTTTTTTTATTTTCGTGTCAACACACTCATGTTGAATCGTGTTGTGCCGTGCTTCATAGCCAAGAATTCACAGGCTTCAGAGATCAGAACACTTTCAAAAAATAAATAGCATCAAAGGTGTATATATACTTAAGAGAGATAGAGATCTTTTTGTCCATTATGCATACAATGTCAATTGTATAATACAAGATGCTCCTAGAATATCCTATGCTGTTGAGAATGGTTTCCCTAGTTGAACCACACATTTGGTGCTGGATGTATCTATGTACATATAGTTGATGCCAAACATGTGCATTTATTTCTGCCCAACAGAAACAACAAAAACCCCAACATACAAACTGTAATCTTGCTTTTATACACAACTTTCATCTCTAATTATTTGTCCATATTAGAAATTCCAACTTCTTTAAAAAGATTAACATGTAATGCATTCACACTCAACTGAAATCTTTTATTACACTGCCTTCATCTCAAATTATTTGTCCATATTAGAAATTTCAACTTCTTTAAGAAAATTAACATGTAATGCCTTCACACCTGATTTAGTTAATAATGATTTTTTAAACAGATAAATATACATCAGCAGACCATTCCAGATATGTAGCACAAAATAATGATTAAAATTTCAAACCGGAGCATAATGAGTAGTCAACAAAGCCGGCCTCAATATAAAGTAAGGCTTACACAGAGAGCCGATAAAGATAATTTAGTTAGTACCTTAATATGAATGGAATTTTCAATTTTGGCGGCACAGTATCGCCAAAAAAGGCAGCTTCTTCAGCCATCCTGCACAAGACTCTACGAACTATTTCTCCCAAATACATGCCAGATATAACCTTCTCGAAAATCTGTGCAATTAGTTAAGAAAAGTTTAAAATGTATGTTGTTCCATCCATGTAAGAAAAGGCAGGTTGAAATCGGATTTACTACAAGAGCAATATAATTACCTGCTCACCAGGGTTCAAACTCTCATCATCCAATGCTTGATCATATTCTGTTAGTGGAAGATGTGATGACCGGAAGTTACCCCACTCCATGTTGATAACCTTAACAAATACAAATTCAGATACAATTACATATCAAGTTACGGCTTGACACCTGGTTTGAAACCACAAACACTTCTACCCCCAAGAATGGAACAAATTAAAAGAATAAAGAAAGATTTTAAATCATGATTGCTGAACAATAGGTATCAAACATTTGAAAGCTCCTAACCATGTCTCCTGACTGAGGCAGTAGACCGTGCCATTTGGGAATTGCATGTGCCCGCTCCACATATGCTGCATTAGTTCCTGTACCCAATATCACAGCAGCAATGACATCCTGGTTGTAGTATCTGCCTCCTGCTAATGTTCCAATTGTATCATTCACCTGCATTAATCAAACAAGTTAAGGAGGTCTAATTTAAAATGTAAGCGACCACGCGAAATACCAAGGAAGCTGAGCAGATTGACAGTTGAAATATATCACCAGCACCAAACTGTCAATCATCCTGGCAGATTTCATATAAAAAGAAAACAATAGTTACCAAAGCAGCCACACGCATATCAAGACCAGTTCTTTCCATTGCTTTTGTCAACTCTCCCACAACATCTTGTCCAACCTATAACGAGCCAAACAAAACCAGAAAAGAGCAATAAAGGATAAAAAATTAATCGAACAAGAAAGTGTCGGACCTTATAAGTCCTTACCTCTCAGAATACTGAGTTATATTGTATTTTTCAGAACAAACTTTTATATCATGCTTTCTGGAGTCAATTAAAACAGGCATTTACACAAGCATGGATTTGAAACAAGCAAGCCATTCAGCAAGCTACGCCTATTCGTCCGAGCTACACATATGGAGTCTGAGCGGGAAGCGAGACAATAATGCTATGCAAGACCATAGAACAAGACAGAATCTGCCCTACATTCCTTATCAGTCCCTCCCGAGGACCTTTGAACCATGTAGTTTAATAGTAGCAGGATTGTTTTGGAGATTTACCTTAGAGAGCATTCACAACTAGATCTGAAAAAAGGTTTGCAGTCACAACGCTTGGCTTGTTGCGATTTGTTGCAAGTGTTATGTTACAAGTGTTTCATTTCATGTAATAACGGTATATTTGTCATTAGTCTTATTTGCGAGGGTATTTCAACTAAGAAATACCTTATTTTAACTAAAATCAATAATTTGGAACACCTTGTTCCAGCAATATGGCTAATGCATTCAAACAGCAAAAAAAAAAGAAAAGTGAACTACGAGACAAGCACAGAGAGAGAGAGAGAGAGTAGAGGGATGGTATTGTGGTAGAATTTATTACCAGAAGACAATGAATAATTAAAAGGAGACTAAATTTGAATAATGTTTACAGAAACGAGCACTAAAACTTTAGTAGCAAATGGATTCAACAATGGCCTTTTATGATATCCATGGTTCAATTAACCTGGAAAGGGATGCAGAAATTAGAAGTGCTCCTGGCAGTTCTGAAATTTAGTGGCAATCCAAGAGCATGCTTCTGGACTATTACAGAATTGACCATATCAATTAACAAAAGGATCAATTTACAAGAAAGCCATAAGCAAGCACAATTGCTAAAAAGCTTAACACAGAGATATTAACTATGCAAACACCTTATAAAAATACACAGAATATTTCATATCAAAGCTTCACTTGAACTAGAATTGGAATTCTTCTATACGAGAAGCTAATCTAAGTTGCACTAATTTAAGACCTCAGGCAGAAAATTCATGGCTAAGGCAGCAACTCTCATGCCAAAATATATGGTTATGAGGAATACAATTACCATGGGATTATTTATATAGAAGGAAAAAAAATTGTGAAACACAAGCAATTTTCTCAAACAGAAATCTGAATAGAACAATTCAATATTAATTTATTCAACTTTTGACGTCTTTATAATTTCGAGTAAGAATTAATATTAGAAACTGCAAATAAAATAACAAATAAATATTATACAGTAAAAGAGTAAAGGTAACTGAGATTAACCGTATCTTCAATAGAGAAGCCTTTTGTCCATTTAATAAGAGTCCCTCCTGCAATTGATGTTTGCCTAACTGGGAATGAAAACGTGAAACCCAGCTCCCTTTGTCTACCAGGTGAAAGATGGAAATGTTCACCTTCTGTAGCAACAAATTTTGCGAGTGCCTCAGCAATAAAATTAAATAATGCCTGAAATCAACATAGTTTGAAGCTTCAGACTGTGAAAGCAAACTAATGAGAGTCAGATATTGTGTGGATGGTTGAATAGATACTCACGTCTGAACTGCCAACCATCAAATGCGGAGGAATTGAAACTTCCTCAAATTCTTGTTTGACAACACGTTTGTCTTTTCCACCCAACTGTACCCGAAGGACACGGAAATTTGTGCCACCAAGGTCTAATGCATAAAACAATCCGTCCTCATCCCTACAAATAAAAGGAGCAAAAGCCACAGCCATGCTCAGATGAATTAATTTTATGGACAATGAGACACCCCTTATTTCACTTTAGGTAAACTGACCCCTCCCACCGGGGCCCATAAAAAAATTAACATATTTACATTGTTAATGAGGATTCCTTTAGAGGCTTAGGTACAACAATATAGATACCTTGAGTCCCTTTGCATATATGAGCCATACATATGCCATTATCCTATATGTCAATGCATGTTCTTTATTTAACTGTAACTACTAAGCCAACAAATATTTACTCACTATTCTAATAAAAGAAAAACACATCTGAAATTAACATGAAAATTTCACTTGAACTAGAATTGGAATTTTTCTATACAAGAAGCTAATCTAAAGTCACACTAATTTAAGACCTCAGGCAGAAAATTCATGGCTAAGGCAGCAACTCTCATGCCTAAATATATGGTTATGAGGAATACGATTACCATGGGATTATTTATATAGAAGGAAAAAAAAAATCTACAAGAAAACTACAATTAAGGAGATGAGGCATGAGCTAAAAAGGCCAAAACTAACAAAATTTAGATGTTAAACAAACCGCAAAGGAAATCGATACAAAAGAATAACCAATGCATTCTATGTATATGATAGTTTGATGGCATTACGTTAAAGGGAAAAAATTGCAATAAGCAAGAGACAGGGTTTGCTTGGTTCAGTTTTAACATAATATTGTTCTTAGAGAATAGGAAAACAGAAATAAATAAATTATGGACTGATAATTCTCTGAGGATTATTATTTTAGGGAACATTCTTTTACAGTTCTCTAAAAACTGTTCTCTTTTTCCATAATTCTTAAATTTTGTTTTCGGATACCTAATCAGACCAAATAAGCCAAATGCTAAGCGTCCCTCACAGGAATATGCTTTCATAAAAAGCAAGTGCCCCAGAGTATGTATTTGAACAACGTATCAAAGATAGTGGACACAATTAGATTAGAAAGGAAGAAAAGGAAGGAAAGGAATAATTAATGTTCCATAACTATTAAAACTTATCACAACAAGTAATAAAAAATCTAAAAGTATATCAATTAAAGAATTCATACAAAAATCTTAATCAATAATCCATCAAATCATATCTTTGAGCTTTCGCCAATTTCGGAGAATGTAACACACTCATGATTTTACTGAATGTTTGACAAAATGCAATCTAAATTCAAGGGTATTTAACAAAAAAATCTCCACTCTTTATTCAACAAATATCAATAAATTAAGCAATAAACTGACATAACAGAAAACACACGCAGTGTCAAATAATATAAATAAAACAAAAAAAGAAAAAGAAAAGAAAAAGAAAAGAAAAAATAAAATGTTTAAATGGCTGGTACTCAAACTAAAAGCAACTCAAAATTCAGGGTTTCTAGTCAAGATTTGTTCTTTAATTACCAAGATCAATATTAAAACACTGGGACATATATATATATACACACACACACACACACATGATTGTGTATTTATTCATGTCGAGAAATATATACCCGGTGGGGAGGTTGTCGACATAGCTGATGATCATCTTGAGCTTGCTTCCACCTTCGGAGGCAAGCCCTGCGTGCATCTCAACGGTCATTGCATCGGCCACCTGTCTCAGCTTCCCGATAGGGGTGCTACACTTCTCCTCCAACTCCCTCAGTATGGCCATCGCCTTCGCCCACCGCCCGGAGCACTGCATGCGGTGGCGCACCACCAGAGCCGCCGCCGCGCAAACCGCGGCGGCGCACACCACCGCCGCCCCTACTGCCACCTTCCCCATCAAGAAAGAAACGCACACGTCACTTTACACAGATCGACCTAATCCACAGACAAATCTCTCTACACTCTCTCTCTCTCTAAAAATGAGTCTTGATTGATTGAATCGATTTAGGTTTGAATTTTGATTAGGAAGTGTTATTAGATGTGAAAAAAGATAGATTTGTTTTGCAGAGGAGTGGAATTGGATAGAGAAATTAATGAAAATGGACGAATTTGAACGATTTTTTCGAAAAATTCTTGAGAAAAGAAACAGAGAGAGAGAGAGAGGGGACAGACTTGAAGGTAAAGATTTTTTTCTTGGTTAATCACTCTGCTTCTCTCTCTATCTCTCTTTATATTTGTTGTGCTTTGACTTTCTTTTTACTCATATGACTGTCTCTTTTCCGGTTTTTAGAGGCTTTAACTGCTCTGCTCTATCACAAAAATCCAAATCTTTATCATACACATAAGCGTGGTCACTTGTCACGCATTACGCTCAGCTGTCCAAATTGTAGAAAGATAAACTAGACATTTGCATGGTAAAATCATTGATTTTTTATTTATGGAACTTAAATTAATTATGGGCATCGTTTATCAATTTTCAACTCTAATAAATATTCTTACTCAATAATCAGTTGCAAAGTCTCTCTTAATTCTTACACTATTTCAATTAATGTTTGACATATCAATTTTTTATCATTATTTTTCTTAAAAATAATAATGAATTATAATTTAAATAATTTAAATGAAGGTTAAAATCATGATGATATCATTAAAAGTTAAGCCAGCATGGCTCTGATACCAAAATAATTAATATGGATCGATAATTTTTGATATTATAATGAAATAAATTCTTACTTGTATAAAATTAATCGGATAATTATTACTTTTTATAGTAGTGAGTCTAACATCTTTACATGACTTCATACTTAAATTGAAAATAATATAATAAAAAAGCAACGCGATTATTCTTTGACGCAAAAAATATTCAATTCTATATATTTCTTAGAATTTAATACGTTGTCGTATTTACTACTACTAATCAGTATCAACCTATTTTTTTAACATGGAGATGAGAAATAATCCACTCTATATATGTGTATGGCTTTAAAGTTTATCTATAATTTTCTTCTTCTTTCTATTTTTAACAGAATTTAAAAAGGAAATAATGTAATGAAAGAAAATTTAACAAATGATTGATGATGTGACAAATTCTATATTATAAATTTGACTTTTTTAGTTCCATTTCTAAAATTGCAGTCCTTATTTCTTGCACAACGAGTACAAAATTTTATCCACACTTTTTTATAGTCATAGTTAGATTAAATTTAACTTAAATCCACCCATCTCCATGTCAAATATTAGAACATTCCCAGTTAACTATGACTATAAAAAAGTATATATATATATATATATATATATATTTAATGTAAATATGATGTTTCCAATAACAATCAATCAGTGTCATGTTTATAACTCACATAATTTTTATAAATCTATTTAACAATATCTAAGATTTAGAGAGAGAGGTTGAGAGAAGAGAGAAGGAAAGGCACATAATTTTTACAAACCTACCTAATTGTATCTAAGATTTAGAGAGAGAGAAAGGGAGATGTGGTAAATATCTGTGTCTTAATATTAGTTTTTAGATTAGTTTTAGAGAGAGCAATAGAGAGATATCCTTATCTATCCATATTTTAAACTCATTAGTCTCCTTATCAAATATTACAAAATCACTCTCCCTATTTTAAATCTCCAAAATTAGAGTCCTGATCTCTTACTCAACCGGGAATAAGAGATTTTATCCACACGTTTCATAAAGATAGTTTAATTAATGGTCATATTTCAAACCCAATATTTTATTTTCAAATGCGACAAAACTACTATCTCCCTATTTTTTATTTCTAAAATTAGCAAGTATTAGCATTAGCATATTATTCAGACTGAAGTCATATTATTATAAGCTTTTGCTTAATTTGTTTCAAGAATTGTACTAGCACACTTGATTTACATGAACATGGGAACCGGTTTAGGGAGGTTTGAGGTTCACTGGCTTAGGAAATACTGTAGTTCTTAAAATATAGATTTTATTATTATTATTTATTTATTATTACTACTATTACTATATTTGGTGTGTTTGGTTAAAAAATTTTTAGTTCGATTCGGTTTCATATTTCAAAATCCAAATGTACAATAATAAACTAAGTTAATCAATACATTCAGAACTTTTAATTCATTCTTCTCTGTCACTTCTAGAACTGAAATGAATACATATAGAATTACTAATTCAACAACAAACATTGAGCCATAATTCAAAAAACCAACAAAATTCAGCTAGCCACTGTAAATTAATAAAAAATAAGAATCAACTAATAAATTGATAAGACCTAATTGAGAGTGGACTGTAAGATTGATAGTTGTTACAAACTTCTAAGTGACTTGGATTGAAAGATTATATTATATTGTAATATATATATAACTAAACAGTTTGGTTTGGTCCAATTCGATCATAAAATACCTCAAATCGTGACCAAATCATATTTTTACGGTTTCATAAATTTAAAACCGTAACCGAATCAAACCGTTAGCAAACCGAACCAAATTGTTCGATCCAGTGTGGTCCGGTTTGAAATTTCGATTTGACCGAATTTTTGTGCACCCCTATAATAGACATGAATGGAATGTGCTTTCAAAGTATAGGGAAAAAATTAAAACAAAAACAAAAACAAAAAGAAAGAAAAAAAGTACACACCTCAATGTAGAAGAAGAAAAAGAAGTTCATATTTCATAGAGAAAATAATTTCCATTTTATTTAAATTATAATAAGAATAATAATATTATACATTAAGTAGTATATAAGATATATTGAAATGTGTTGGTGTGAAATAACATTTTTACCCTTATTTAACCTTTTAATTTAAAATATCATAATTGTATAAAAACGAAATTACCCTCAATGATTAATTATCCAAAAATACGCTCACCTTCACTCATTCTTTCTCTTTATCTTCATATGTGGGCAACCTCCCACCACCTCACCACCATTGGTAGTTGAATACATTATCAATAATTTGTTTCAAATGAAACTAGTAATAGAAAAAGAGTCACACAAATAAATAAAAGAAATATAACCCTTTTAATAAATATATATATACACAGACAAGCACAAATTACTCCAATTTTTCAATCAACAATCTATTGTGCTCTCAACATTGCCCTTTTAGCAAAACTGGGTTAGAGGTTGGTTGTGGGAGAGGAATCCTTGTTTTACAAGATTTATAAATCAAAGTATTTCCCAGACTGTGATTTTCTTGAAGCTAGTTATGGATCTAGAAATAGTATCTGTATTAGTTTCATTTTTTAATTTTATTCTTCCCTTAAAAAATCGTTCTGGTGCATAGAGGGGGTTTGGAGAAGTATCTCAGCCTCTAAGGATTCAATCCGAAAATGAATCCATTGGAAAATTGCAACTAGCTCTAAAGTTGATTGTTGGAATAACAACTGGTTGCTAGACAATTCAAATCCAAGGCCTACATCGGTCTACAATTCAAGAAATCCTTCTAAAGTTGATGATCTGATCAATTCAAATTTGAGGACGTGGAAGGTTCATTTAATCCAGCACATTTTTAATGCTCGAGATTCAAAATTGATCCTTCAAAAGCTAATGAGTGCTTCAGATTTGGAAGATTCTATAAGACAGAGTCCTTCACATAATGGTAAGTTTTTTGTTAAAAGCGCCTACAACCTGGCTTTAACAGAGATTAATGGGTTTAATTGTAATCATTCTGGTCTTGAAAGTGCTGAATGTAGTCACGAAATGGAATTCTAAGGCCATTGGAAACACTTCTGGAAGCTTAAGGCCTACCGGAAGATCCAATTCTTTTTATGGCAATGCGCGCATGACAAAATTCTAATATTGTGTAACTTATGAAAACGAAGCATTTCAATCATCACTACATGCCCACGATGTGGATTGTCAAAGGAAACTGTTGATCATGTCCTCTTTAACTATGAAATTGCTCAATTGGTGTGAAAAACATCTCCGTTTAAGCTTAACTCGCTAGGCAATGATATTCCATGGAAGAGAAGATGGTTAGAGCTCTTATCTAGTTAGAACAAATCTGATAATCCAATAGAGTGCTTCAGTCTGGGGGCGTCTATATGCCAGCATCTATGGAAGTGTCGAAATGACAAAATCTTCAATGCGAGAACATCGAACTTTTTAGAGATTTTAAACAGAGCTATGGACAACTTTGTTGAATTCAAGGAAGTTTGTAAGAAAGATGATAGGCTGGTGGAAGTGCCTGATGCTCCTCCTAGGCTTGTGTCCTGGTACCCTCCGCCACATGGGTTGTTCAAACTCAACTGTGATGCAGCATTTGATCATTGTTGCAAGAGATGTGGTGGAGGTTTAATATTGATAGACTCTTGGGGTAGACCGGTGAGAGTTGCTTTGTGCCTTTTTTATTTTGTGCACTCTGTTTCCATGGTAGAAGTTTTGGTTGTTCGTTTTGGGTTACGTCAGTTGCAGGTATGGGATTACACCCAAACCATTTGTAGAAGGAGACTGTAAATGTGTTATGTCCCTTTCCCCTCCAAATTCCTTCTCGGTGATTGTTGTTGAAGATATAGCTAAAATAGTTTCTGGTGATTCAAATGTTAGGATTTATATGCCCCGGCATAGCAAATTCCTATTTGGATTATAGTGACATATGTACCTGACGTTTTTGAAATATTTATGCTTTATACAATTGGTGAATTCAATGTATTATGTTTCGATTCATTATAGAATTGATAATATCCACTTGATTGCAAGAGATATTTATATATGTATTTGATGGCGATCAATACATAAATATAAATAGTAATCATAAATTGTTCATAGTCGGTAATTATGGATGAACTCATAATTAATTAAGACTTGAACTGGATTCGTGTTAGGTTGAGATATATTGCAAGAGCCGTCGTATACAATTGCTCCCTATCACCGTCATGGCATTTGACTCTTAAGTATGAGAAAAATATAAATTCTTTTATTAATTAATAATTACTTTGATTTGTTTAGCAGATACTTCGGGATCCTTAGACCGACACTTTGGGTAGTTAAGTAATTAATATTTAGAGGGTTATATTTTCAATATTTGCATCATTACTACTTGTATTTATTTTGTATTGATTATGATTGATCACAAAGTAAATTCGAAGGCCTTCGTGTATTTTTAGACAAACTGATTTATTATATATTTATTTATTTAAATTATTATTTTGTCAAACAAATGTTTTATTGTGATCGAGCCAGAAATAATCAAAGGTACCAAAATAAATATATTATTAAGCAGTCGGATTGATGGCTTTATTTATTCGATAACTAA